GGGCGTGCAGTGGTGTCGCTATTCCTTCGCTTCTTTGTAAGTTATTTCCTTATATATATATATATATATATATATATGTATATGTTGACAGCAATATTCATTTGCTCGCGTTGCATTATCAGGAGGACAATCAAGACCAAGGTATAAATTTGAAATTTTTTTTTGTATGGTGCTTGTTCAAATTATTATATCAATTTCTTGTTGTTTTTCTCGAGGTACACATATCAGAAGCAACAAAACAACTCTAAATGCTGGGCAAGTGGATTGATCAGATTAACCAAAAAATTGATACCGCTGTAGATTTTTTTGTGGATGAAGAGGAAATTGAAGATGACGACGAAGTGAATCCTGAAGTTGTGGGGGAACACAGAACAGATGACAACACGAATGGGACTGCTTCTTCTCAATTAGATATAATCGCTTCGGTATCGCCGTCTTTCTTTTTATCTTCCTCGTTGGTTGAGTCGGAGGGAAACAACATAGTAACAAGTGGCGCCACAGTCGTTTCCAATGTAGGCAAACATTCAGTATGTGTGGAGGGGCTCGACAGTATTGATGCAAGTGAAGATGCATGTTTTCAAAAACACAGTATTAATCGAAGAGGTAGTCACTTTTTATCTCCGGTGGTTGTACATAATACAACTCATGCTGACATGGTTAATAACCAAGATTCGGCGTTAGAATCGTTAGTGAGGGCGGGCGTCACGACATCGCCTAGTCCTTCACAGCATTCAGACATGAATGAGTCCAGTTCAACTTTCCAAGAGGAAGCCGATGGACGTGATGCACATATAGAAAATAACGTTTCTAGCACACCATCAGTTAATGCATTATTGCCTGAGAAGAAGTTTTCGCCGTCCGACGTTGTCTCGGAAATGCTCACGACGCTTCCAGAAAAGAGTGTTCAGCCCAGTCATCTGGTGGAACCCATTAGTTCCTTCCTTCATTCCCAAGAGAGATCGCCTGAGCTTGTCAAGCTAAACACTGCCTCGCAAGAGGTGGAATGTTCTACTTGTAAGGAGGAAATGCAGCCCACGCTCTATGAGCACTTATCGACCGAGATGGCTAACCCAGTCGCTCATACCGAAGAGATTTACACATTGAAAGGACATCTTAAACAGGCACAGACAGAATTTTCTCTCAAGGGAAATGCATCGTCACAAGCTTCCACAAAAGATGAGGTATCTGTTGCTGAAGAGCTCGAACGAGAAAAGAGGCGTAATAAGCAATTTGCAGAAGATCGTAAGATGCTGTTAGGTAAGATTAGTGATTTAGAGGCAATTGTAAAGGATTACCAAGAAAAGGAGGAATCGTGGAGCAGAATCCAAAAGACGCAGCAAGAGGCATTCAATAGTTTGACGCATAAAAAATCCAAGCTAGAGGAAGAGTTGAAGCATCGGAAAACATGCATTGTTGAGTTGTCTAAAAAGCTTTCCAAGGCACAGCAGTCAGATACTTCTTTCAATACTAGGCTACAAAGTATCGTGAGTGAACATACTAATGCCGTAAATGAACTCAATAGGCATCATCTGGATGCGCAGAATCGTTTAGAGAATGAGATTAAGGATCTCAAGGAGGCCATACATCGATTCAGACTTGAATTTGATGAACAAGTGTGTGAATCAGAGCGTAAGATTTCTGAAGCTAATCAGCGCGCACACTTCGCTGAGATGCGTCTAACGGAAGCGGAGCTTCGATCTGCTAACTTTTTGTACGATTTAAAAACTGAGCTAGAAGACACACAAAAGAGGATCACCCTTTTGTCATCTGAATTGGATGAAGCCAGAAACGAGCGCGGGGAGATTCTTGCAAGGTATAACAGATTGAAACGTGAGCACGTAGTCGAGGAAGATAGCCACCGCGAGCATCAAGAAAGACAGGCAGCTGCACTGTCTGAGGCACATAGGGAAATACAACTATTAAAGGGGCAGGTAAGCATTTTCCAAGAGAAATCACTCGCTGCTCAGCATGAGGTGGAGGATTTGAAACGTCGATGCATAATGCTGGAAGCTGGGAATGTGGAAACAACAGCTCCTGAGAATGGTGATGTGCACCGAGAGATGGTCATCGACCCAGAGCATGATTCTCTGTCGAAAACAGCTAACAGCGTCGCAGATGAAACTTTCTCGCAGCTTTCTTCCTTTAATTTAGTGGCAACACAAAGACAAAGTGATTCGGTTCCGCGCCCGAAGGTGCTTTATCCCCCTTTGCCCCTTGAGCCCAATATCCTGTTCTCCTCTGTGCATAAGGATGATACAACTGCGAAGTCCCGTGATCGTCTCGAGAAGGAAGTCATTCGACAAGCTGCCGAGATTGGGCGTTTGAAAGGAAACGAAATGGAGGTTGCTAGCATGAGAAGAAAACTTACGGAATTGAACAAAAAGTATGATCTACTACTACAAATGTATGGACAACTTGAGGAAGAATACAACACCCAGAAAGAGTTGATATCAAAATCTGTTGCAGGTGAACATCCTTCTGAGAGGGTTACTTAGCAGTGTTCACTAGTGTTTCTGTCGTATTATTTTGCAACGCATTTGCTTTGTTGTTCATTTATACATCTGTTTTTTTCCCCTCACTCCTTAAAACCTGTTTCTTCTTTTATGTGTCCCTCTCTTTTTATTATGCTCCTATTTTTCTCCTTTTTTCTTCACGAGGCGCACTCATAAAGGTTGATCCGATTGCCCTATTTCATTTCCTCGAAGTTGAAGCTCTTCTTTTCACGCGAGCCCTGGCAACATCGACGTACTGAAAGCACTGAGGAATCTGATTTCCGCCCAAGTAAATAGTGGTGATAACACCACCTTTTTTCTGTGGTATGCTCAGTTACGTGCAGAGCCAAGTTCGTTTTGAGTGTCCTGCCGTACACATTTCGCCGTTGATTTATTTTTTGATCAACCTCCGCGATGACTAGGGCAGCAGCGAAGCCTGGAGCTCCCATTGGGGGTGAGATCATACCTATGACTGCCTCTTTATTTGCGTGTGCGACGAAAAATTCCAAACTTTCGCTATCGGACCAGGAGGAGTATTTTAGGGATGAATTAACTCTTATCCGTCACGGCGAGCGTCAAGACCACGCTGACCGCGGGTGGAGGGGTAGTCATCTTCTCTCTGTGCAGGATCCCCCACTGTCAAATGCAGGGCGGATGCAATCCTTTGAGACCGCGCTTAGATATTATGCCCTACAGAGGGAGAAGACGGTTGAGCAGCGCATTCGTGGCAGAGTTTCCTTTTTTCTAGTGTCTCCATTTCATCGTTGTATAGAAACAGCGATAATATTAAATATTGTAGCATTTCAAGGGTCCCTAGCCATATTCATTAATCCACAGCTCTCAGACTGGCAACAATCTAAAGTTTTTCGCTCACCACCAGTCCTTAGCGGCCAATACGCCATGTCTCAAACCGGAAGGATTGACAACGGGGGGAACGGAAAGCTGCTTTTTTTCTATCCCCAAGTCAAGGCTTTGCGAGCCTCACTTGTACCTTTCCTACAAATGCGCGCCGAGGAGGTTGGGAAAGGAACAATTACAGATGCATTACCAGTTCCTCCTGAAGTTGCCCGGGAGTGGGTCCGAACACTTGAGATGTCGCTCGACGATCACTTGGAATTGCCGGTCTGGACAGACAGTGCCTCTCAAAGCTTTATCTTGGACAAAATCGAAGCTTCCAACCCACAAAACAGTGATGATGGTCATCATTCAACAACCACGTTGTTCCCCTCATTGAGCACGTCCTCGGACTATTTTGGATGCGGTGTGAAACATCCAGAACGGAGGGCTGATTTACTGAAGCGTTGCCAGCAGGTAGTTGAGACATATTTCCTGAATAGTGAATCGTCTGTTTTAACGATTCCCGCGTCGGTTCGTGCATCTGTAGAAATAGAGAGGCGCAATCAGTTGCCAAAGTACTTCATACCTCGCTCATCAGAACGACGAACTAGTAAAAACCAGACACAAACACCTCTAGCTCTCCTCCCTCCTTTACACGTCATGGTAGTCACTCATGGGGATGTGATTGCTGGCTTGGTTGAAATTTGCTGCCCCAAGTACCTAAGCCACGGCGACGGCGTCTCGGTGCCGTACTGTAGCATTACAACTCTTACGCGACATAACAACTACTATCGTATCCCTTCTTTAAATGAGCGTCAAAAGGTGGATAGCAAAGCTGTTTCGTCTGCCAACAGGGGCCATGGGGCGTCCAAAAAGGCTCAGGGTGCTCTGTGCATGCAAAGTGCGGTCCCATATGGTAACTTGGCCGCTTCTCTTCTTCATGAAACTGCATCTGTGGGCTCTTTGGGCTTATCCATGAATTGGCAAGTGGAGGAGTTTGGCTCTACCGACTTGCTTCGCACTCGAATTTTTATTAGATACAACTAAAAGCCCTCACTAGCTTGGATAACGTCCGCTACTTCGACGAATCATAAAAAGACAAGAGTCAATTCGGGAAGGAATGGCAAAAATAAGTGCTAACTTGGTGCGTGATTTGGCATTACACATTTTATGTGTGCGCTTGTAGTTTTAATATAACTTAATGTCTTTCTTCCCTTTCCATTTATATTTGATAGTAAGCTGTTATTTATTCCATTCAGGTATACGAATTTTAGATTATGCCACCAGAACGGAGTCTATGTGCGAAATGTAAATCCTATGACGAGGGTGCGATTGACCTTGATGACCGTCAGTGGTACTGCAATTCATGCTGGGCTGCACATGATAGGGCCATGTCGAATCAAAAGTTAAAGAAGAATGATTTCAAAGTACAAACAAACGACGTGCTGAAGATTAGTAATGCGACTAGAAATACCGATGGCTGTAAACAAGTTAATTCTGAGGGTATAGGGACGAAGCTCACGGATGGGGGCGATACACAGCGAACGGGAGAGTTAATTGGGAGCAGTCAACATGCAAAAGTTGACAAGTGGATGGGTGGCGGATCCCCCAAAACCTCAGAGGTTAGTGTAAATAGGAGTGGCCAAGGCGCGATGATGGATGCCGTGGAGGCTGCGTGGAGACGACAGCATGATGCTTTTCACAGCTGCACACCTTCTCAGAATGCCGTACCTTCTGTTTATTCGACACTCGCGCAAGATTTTAGTGCTGAAGGATCGTCACCTACCAGCTTTGTGGCCGCGTGCATGCAACCACAACAGCCTGTCCGTATTATTACGCATTCTGGTGTCCCTTTATCACCTCGTGGCGATCGTGCTGGAGGTACTGGCCAATTGACGCACCCGAGGCTTCCTAAAGTACCCTTGGATATGCTTCTTTCCACCTTAGATGATATTGTGTCACAGGTATACGTCGTCTTTGATGAAGATCTTACAAAGATATTGCTCAATGGGCTTGACCGTGTCACAGCGTGCGAGACAGTCGACCAGCGGGAACTTATGAAAATGAGGGTAATGAACACATTCCTCGAGACTTTTGGTGACAAACACTATGACCTCTTACAATGCATCTTGTACAAACCACGGGAAGTCTTTTTGCGCTTACTAGAGGGATTTTGCACCTTGGGGGATGACGAGAAAGACAACAACTCTAGCACCGGAGGCTCAAATCCAATAGGACTCACTGTGCGTTTCGTAAAAAGCGGGGGTAAACAGCGATCCCAATGTCAGAGTGTTGCATTCGACAGTAACGGTAATATTGAGAATCAGCGTTGGCTTCAACACATGAACAGTCGCTATCGTGCCTTGCTGGCGGAATCCGAACTGGAGTTCATGTTTCGGAAGGATTTTAGTGTAACTGGCTCTGCTGTTCCTAAGGGAACTACTGTGACGAAGCAAAGCGACTATGTTCGCATCCACATCCCATCCCTCAACCTTGAAATGCTCCCACTGGATAAGCGCATTTGCGTAGCGACTTCACTGCCAGAGTGGACACATCCAGCCTTTTTTCCCATTACTCATTTGAACACAATTCAAACATCTATATTTGAAACAGCCTTTCACACCTCACAAAACATGCTTGTGTGCGCACCAACAGGTGCGGGTAAGACTGTCTGTGCGCTTCTCATGATGCTGCGGTGTATCAGCGAACATTTTGTAAATGGTATCTTAAATCGTGACTTCAAGATAATTTTTGTAGCGCCAATGAAAGCTCTGGCGCAAGAAATGGTTGCGAATTTCTCGCGCCGCATGGCGCCATTCATGATCAAGGTGCGCGAACTAACGGGAGACATGCAGTTGACGAAACGTGAGATAGCGGAAACGCAAGTGATCGTGACCACTCCAGAAAAGTGGGACGTCATCACGCGTAAAAGAAGCAATGAGGAATTTTTCAATAAGGTGAAGCTTCTCATCATTGATGAAATCCACTTACTGAATGAGGAGCGGGGCCCGGTTCTTGAGGCGATTGTCGCGCGTACAATGAGACAAGGAGAGATGGATTCAAATCTCCGCGTGCGTTTGGTTGGGCTGTCTGCAACCTTACCGAACTACAAGGACGTGGCGAATTTCTTGCACGTCGATTTAAAGGATGGTCTCAAAGTGTTCGGTCCCGAGTACCGGCCTGTGCCATTGGAACAGACCTTCATCGGTATGCAAGGCGTGCCTAGTAAGCACAAGGAGAGACGCTTGGATGAATTAGCATATCAGGAGGTCCTTCAAAATGTAATGGAGGGACATCAAGTTATGGTTTTTGTGCATTCACGAAAGCAAACTGTAAACTTATGCAGGTATTTTATGGAGGAAACAAGAGCGCGTGGCAATGAAAGGTACTTTCGCTACAATACCGTACTCCCAACAAATATTGAAAAAAAAGCCCGCAATTTGCAGGGTAAGGATCTCTACACGCTCTTCGAGAGCGGATTCGGGGCACATCATGCTGGGCTCATTCGGTTCGACCGAACGACCACTGAGGACCTTTTTCGTGAAGGATACATTCGGGTGCTCTGCTGCACTAGCACCTTGGCATGGGGTGTGAACCTCCCAGCGCACACTGTGGTTATACGTGGGACCCAGCTATACGACCCGAAACGCGGTGGTCTGGTCTCGATTTCAGTTCTAGATGTGATGCAGATTTTTGGCCGTGCTGGTCGCCCTCAGTTTGACACCAAAGGTCACGGCATTATTATCTCCGATGACAAAGAAATCGGATATTTTCTTCGACTTATTTCTAGTTCGTTGCCGATTGAGAGCCAGATGCAATCCAAGTTGTGGGATCATCTCAATGCGGAGGTAAATGCGGGAACCATATCATCTATTGCAGAGGCATCATCGTGGCTAGAGTATACCTATCTGTGGCAAAGAATCCGTGTCAATCCATTAATATATAACTTGAAGATAAGCAGCGTACGAAAGGATCCTGAGCTGAAAGGTACTAGGTACGAAATTATTCATAACGTATTTTCAGACTTAGCTGTGTCTGGAATGGTTCGGTACAACCCCGAAATAGGTTCTGTAGAGTCTACAGATTTGGGTCGCATGGCAAGTCACTACTATCTCACGTATACAACCGTGAACGTTTTCAATAAGATGATGCGACGACGAGACGGGACCTGGGAAGACTCACTCGATATGGGCACTGCCATGAATATATTGTCATGCGCTAGCGAATTTTCGGCACAGCACGTGCGCCAAGAGGAGTTGGATCAACTTCAGAAGCTGCACCTGCAACTGCCCAGACAGGTGCGTGAGTATCGCATCGCTGGCGAAAGCACAGATGAGACGAGTGTTCAGTGGAAGGTAACGACACTACTTAAGGCGTATATTAGCCGTTTGCATATTGAGGACCACTCGCTGTCTGCAGACGTGAACTACATTGCCCAAAATGCTCCTCGTATTTCGAGGGCACTTTTTGAGATTGAGCTGGAACGTGGTCACCCTCTTACCACCTACATTTTTCTCACTCTGTACAAATGTTTGGTGCATCGTTGCTGGGACTTCGACCATCCACTGCTTCAGTTCACTTCCTGGATCAATAGGGTGAATATACCAGACGCCGTCTGGGGCTATTTAAGTAGCCGAAATCCAAGTATATCGACGCTGCAGGAGCTCACACCAAAGGAAATAGGCGATATGGTGCATAACATGCGTTGTGGGCGCGATATCGCTCTTCTCGTTTCGAAATTTCCCACATTGCAGCTACACATCGACGTCCAGCCCATTACGAAATCTATTCTTCGTGTGAAAGCTACAATCCAGCCGAATTTTGAATGGGGTCGCGATATTTCCGGTAATTCGGAGGTCTTTTGGCTGCTTGTGGAGGATCAAGACAATAATTTTATTTTTCATCACGAATCTGTCGTAATCACACGCAAGGAGGTGGAGAGCGGGACGCCTCATGTCGTGAACTTGACTATTCCAATTGTGCCTCAGTATGATATGTATTCGGTCCGTCTGTACAGTGATCGATGGATGGGTTGCCAAGAGGATTACACTTTTTCAATTGGTCACTTGCACTTACCAGAGGACACCCAAATGACGACCAAGTTACTTCCGCTCGCTCCGCTGCGGTTAAGTGTTTTGCCCGAGAAATATCAAAAACTCTTTGAGAGCCACCACCAATTCAATGCCATGCAAACACAGGTCTTTCACGTCATGTATCATACAGATGAAAATGTCTTTCTGGGCGCCCCTACTGGCAGTGGTAAGACGATATCAGCAGAGCTGGCTATTTTGCGCGTTTTTGATAATTTCCGTTCTGGTAAGGTCGTCTACATTGCGCCACTCAAGGCCCTGGTTAAGGAGCGGCTGCGGGATTGGCAGCGCCGGATGCGGCTGATTGGCAGGTCCGTAGTGGAGCTTTCCGGTGATGCGACCCCTGACATTATCGCCTTGGCCAAAGCAGACATTTTGTGTACCACTCCAGAGAAATGGGATGGTATTTCGCGTAACTGGCAGGTGCGAAGCTATGTGACATCAGTAAAGCTGGTAGTGTTTGACGAAATCCACATGCTGGGTACGGACCGCGGTCCGATCCTAGAGGTGATCGTAAGCCGTATGCGGCACATTGGATGGAGTCTGAATGCCCCGATTCGTTTGGTAGGTCTGTCTACAGCGGTTTCAAATCCATCAGATTTGAGTTCGTGGCTCGGGGTGGTGAAGAAATGGGCTGTCTTCAACTTTGACCCATCCGTGCGCCCGGTCCCGATGCTAGTCCACATAGCGGGTTATCACGGAAAGCACTATTCCCCGCGCATGGCGACTATGAACAAGCCTACATACAATGCTATTTGTGAGAAAAGTCCGACTCAGCCGGTAATCGTCTTTGTTTCGTCCAGGAGACAGACGCGGCGGACAGCTTTGGCTCTTATTGGGTTTCTCTTGGCAGAAAATAACACAGCAAAATGGATCCATATGGAAGTCGACGAGATCGAAAAGATGATTGCAAAGCTGACTGATCCCTACCTAAAGCACTGTCTACAGTTTGGCGTTGGGATCCATCATGCTGGTTTGTTGGAGAGCGACCGCTCTATTGTTGAGGAAGCATTTCTTTCAACCAAAATTCAGGTTCTGGTTGCGACCTCAACATTGGCCTGGGGAGTGAACTTTCCTGCCCATATGGTTATCGTGAAGGGAACTGAGTACTACAACGCCAAGACACATAGCTACGTCGATTTTCCTATTACAGACGTTTTGCAAATGATCGGGCGTGCGGGAAGACCGCAATACGACACCGAGGGGGTAGCGCAGGTACTATGCCACGAGCCGAAGAAAGGATTTTACAGAAAATTCTTGTATGACCCTTTTCCTGTGGAGAGTGCTTTGCACACACAGCTCCATGTTCATATTAACGCCGAAATTGTTTCTGGCATAATCGCAACGCGGCAGGACGCCATGAATTACCTTACCTGGACCTACTTATTCCGCCGTATCACGCGCAATCCATCGTACTATGGCCTCGAGGACGGTTCTCCCGAGGCGGTTACGACGTTTCTCTCTGACCTAGTGAAGGCTACATTAGAGGAGCTGGAGGAATACGGTTGCATCGAGTTTGGAGACCAGACTGATGAGAATGCGAATCTTAACGCACTGCAACACACGGTTCTTGGCAAGCTGTGCGCGTATTACTACATTTCCCATCGAACCGCAGGCATGTTTAATCGCAGGATTCAGCCCTCCATCAGTTGTGTTGAGGCTCTACGAATTCTCTGTGATGCAGAAGAATTCAATGAGTTGCCTGTACGGCACAATGAAGACAAGCTAAATATGGAGCTGGCCAGTGGGCTTCCCTTTCCTGTGTCAGATGAAGAGGCGGATAGTCCAAACTTGAAGGCCTTTTTGCTTTTTCAAGCCCATTTTGAGCGTGCGGAGCTTCCTGTTACCGACTACGTCACAGACCAAAAGTCCGCTACGGATAACGCAGTGCGTGTGATTCAGGCCATGGTTGATGTAGCCGCGAACAATGGCCATCTGTATGCATCGTTGCGCTGCATGACATTGATGCAGTGCATCGTTCAGGGCATGTGGTGGAACGGCCCCACGTTATTGCAGATTCCTAATGTCACGCTGGAAATGTTGCCGGCTATACAAAGCGAGTGTGGTATAAGTCAAATATCTGAGTTGGCCAACAGTCCTCTCGAAACTATCCAGCGTTTCGAGAAAGTATTACAGCGCCCTGTCTTCGGTCTCACACCAGACCAAGTGAATGAGGCGATGGAGGGGATACGGGGGCTACCACTTGTGCAAGTTGATGTCTTTGTGCGTTATCTTCAGCCCGAGACCACGGGGGCTCAGGAATTTCGCACAAATGATGGGAATGATATTCCTGTGTTTGAAGTTAGTGTGCACCTGGAGCGACTTTCTCACCCTCGAAACTACGTTGTTGCACCTCGTTTCTCAAAGAATAAGGACGAGCAATACTGGGTGTGCCTTGGCCATGAAGCCACAGGTGAGCTTGTGGCTCTTAAACGTGTTAATCGTCTGAATCATAGAAGTGTCACAAAGTTGCGTGTGGAGTGGGACGAGGACTGGTCGAGTGCACCAGTACAACGACTTTTGAGGGGAAATACCAGAGGTGGGACAAAGCTGAGTGTTTATGTAGTGTGTGATTCGTTCGTTGGCATGGATCAGCAATATACTTTCGAACTTTCCAGACCTTAAATTGTGAGTGTCGCAGAAAAGTTGATTTTAATCGGTGACAAATGTGGTCTGTTTTACCGGCTTTTTTTTTCCATATCCATAATGTCCGCTTTTTACTGTTGCGTGGCCGCTACGTGGGAAAGGTCAGCAGTGTAATAACTAAATCTTCTATTTTGAAGTAGTTGCTAAAAGAGAGGAGGGACCATGGGCATGTTAAGCAGCTAAACTCGTTTGTGTGACCACCTACATCTGGGACGAATGGTCCGGTGCTGTAGCTCAACCTTTTAGTCCTTTCCACTCAATTTGATTGTTTGCTACTGTATATTTCAGTTCTTTTCGTTCATCATCCTTTTTCTGTAAATGATGTCAAATCAATTTTTTACTATCACTCAGAGCATCATGTGTTGACAACGGGAACGACGAAATACCAATAGCATCCTTACTTTAGAAGTGAAACTGGAGTACGGAATTCTAGCCAATATGCAAAAAATTAACCACCGCTGCTCTCATTACCCAGCATTGCAGCTTACTGGTCGATGCGTGCTTCTCATGAAGAGTATGGATACCAACAAAGACCAGCATAGGAGCAGTTTCATGGAACTTACATCCTCTTCCTCTCTAAATGAGGGGAATGACGTACCAATCTCAACAAGACAAGCATTTGCTATCCCGCAGTCGCTGTCGGGAAATTCGTATTACCACCGGCGCTTTCTGGGCAGCGCATCTTCTCGCCAGCAGGTAGACCCACCAGGCTCACTGGGGTTGAGATCGGAAACCCATCTAAATGCAGGGGATCTCCTCCTACATGCAATTTCCTCCTCGGTGTCCCGTCACCTGCGGCACCTCCCAATGGCGGACGTCACTGGGATCCGCACCAGTTATTTTGATGCATCAGAGCGCTCCAAAAACGCTCTGGCTACCCTGGATGAGGTTGTTGAAACTATGCACTGGCACGATGGCAGCGAGGTGCCTGCACTAAAGCGAGGGGAAGTTCCTGTTGGGCGTTTGGTGGTATTGTGCACGTATCCAACACGAAGAGAGTTCCATAAACAGGGCTTACCAGCAGTTGAAGGTAGATGTTCCACAGAGAAGCGTGTTCCGTGCGTTTCTGTACCACTCTTTCGCGCGCTCCAAGCATCTGTGATGGTGGAAAACGCTGGTGTGTTTTTTCTTAATCGCAGAGGATCACTATTCTATCATTCTGATTTTGAAGCGCTACAGATGGCGAAGGCGGTCGCCGCACGGTGTCATAGCGTGTGTAGGCGAACCATGCTCCGTCCTAGGGTCCGAGATGGTAATGTAGTTGGAGTACAGCTTGTCATGTGACATATATATATTCATATGCAAGTCTGGTTCTGCGGGAAAGCATAACTTACATCTAAACATATACCCGAGGGCGTGCTTTGAAGTCACTCAGGCTTGAGTTTCAGTATTTTTTTGGTTTAGTTTTCTACATTTTATCTTTCCATTTTATCGGTTGCTGTTTGTGTGACTTGTAGGTTAATCTAAAGGGAACAAACTTCAAATTGAAAATATTTATCAGTAGAAGAAATTAAACATGCCTAGCGGACCCAAAACTAACAAGTACCTTAATCGCCACAGTGAGGAAGCTCGCAAACGCGGTGAGGAGCGCCTCCATGAGTCCAGGCAAGCGAAGGAGATTGCTGCAGAGGATGCAAAGTGGAAGGATACCGACGCTAAAGCCTCTAAAAGGCTTGAAAAGCAGCGTGAGGCGGAACGCAAAATGGAAGAAAAAGCCCTTCGCGAAGCTGAAAAGCGAGAACAATTGGCGAAGGAAGAGTCTGAGTATCAAAAGGGCAAACCCCCAGCCCATGTTCAGAAGCGCGAGCTTCAGAAGATCCTGAGCAAGGCCCTGAGCGCGTATGATAAGGAGCGTGACTCAGTGCGTGGTTCTATCCCAGAAAACAAGACCAGTGCTACTTATGATGCTAATGTAACTGAATTACCGAAGCGTAATGAAAATCGTCAGGTTAAGGTGGAGCCATCTGTTGACCCTAATACAATTACTTCTCATGGAACTATCGACGCGGCGTTGCGGAATCTTAACACTCAGCAACAGGCTATTCCTGAAAATCGCCATATTGGAAAGCGTGCGAAGACATTGTACAAGACCTTTTACGAGGAGCAACTTGAAAAAGTTAAGATGGAGCGTCCGGGTTTGCGTCGAACCCAGTACAATGACATTATTTGGGAGATGTGGCAAAAGTCCCCGCTCAATCCATTCGTGTTACGCAGCGAGGCGCGTGACCAGGCCCGTTTGGAGGCGGATCGCAAATGGATGGAAGGAGGTTCTTCGAATGAAGACGATGAAGAGAGCATTGAAAACAAGTAAAGCAGGAGATATTTTTGGCATGCCCACGCTCATACTTGGAGGAGGGGGAAACTGTATAAAACAAACTCTCCTATAAACTTGCAGTTTTGGGATTCTATTTGTAATTTGTCCCAAAGTCTGATGAATTAATATTTATCTTTCTTTTTATCCTTTTTTGTTTTCCAAATATTTCTAAAAGCGATATTTCAACTATTTATTCAATGTCATTTGAGGTTTAAATTAATTATTTCCTACTGAATAAGATTGCTATTCTGGGTCTAAATGCTGAAAATCGATTTTATCCTGTAAGATTTTCTTTCTCACGATTCGCTAAATGTATCTTCCAGGCTTTCCTTTAAAAACATTAGATATTGGTTTTTAGATCTCCATAATTGTATATTATAGACTTGGAATCTGGTTGACAGCCAGACGACTTTTCGCTTTGGCAGAAAGAGAAATAGTAGCCTGATATTTTTATCGAGGGAGGAAGCTGCAGGTAGAGGAACGTAGAATGAACTTTGATTTATTTGAGGATGATTTGAAGGACATACGCCCCGTTACTGCGGGGATAAATCAAAACCAATTCCTTAGGTCAGAAGCGAATCCTAGCAGCAATGCTGCCACACGAACCTCGTTACCAGCCACAGCCGACACAGCTTCGTCGTTGCTGAAGGCAATACCACCTCGTCCGGTAGCCGGCCGTCGAGCGGCAGCTGTGGCGTCAGCCTTAAAATCGCCGTCTTTTCCCGTCGTATCACATAGTTCCGATAATCACAAGACCACAGCTCCGGTGCTGTTGAATACCACGTCATCCTCGATGATGGGGGCTGCTCTTGAGATACCTAAAAGAACGGGAATGGCAACACGTAGCAAAACTGCAACGCTAAGCGCCTCTGCTTTCGAGGAAGAGTTTGGTAGTAGCAAAGAACCTTTCGATATTCTGGGTTGGGGCAGCCCACCAGAAACGCATAGAACACACCATATAATCGATACTATAGAGCACACGGAGGTTGATGCGGCCGCAGTGCAGCGTGCAGCCGAGGTCGAGAAACAGCGCACTGAAATGCGAAGTTTATACGCTTCGCTTGACGCCATTAGCGCCGAAATAAAGGAGTTGGATGACAAGTTAGACACACGACAAGCTAAGGAAGAGGCTGAGGTTACTGAGTTGTCCACAGCGAAGATAATGAAATCAATTGAATTGGAAGAACAGGAGCGTCAGTTGGGTGAGGCATGTGAAGCGGTGCGGCGGGAGACGACGTGCCGTTTAGATGCAATGAGCGACCGCTACTCTAAGGAGATGACCAGCTTAACGCAGAACACGCGCATCGTGGAAAGTGAACGGTATAAGAGTCAGCTTCAACACCTACAGGAGTCTTTGTTGGCGGCAAGCAAGTCCGTGACTGAAATGCGCCACAAACGGGCACTTCTTATTCGTACCGATCCATATACTCCGAAAGGCATCTCTCTCGCCCTTTCGGTGGCGAAAGAGGGTGGTGTATCCGAGAAACATGGAACGTACATGCCCCATCAGCGAGACGATGACTCCTCAGCCTTTCCTGAAGCTGTGCAGAGTTCGATGGATTCCAGCTTGCCTGCTCCAATTGCGACTTCGCCGTTTGATATGGCTACACAGCAGCAAGGGCAGATAGGTTACCCTTTGAAGTCCATAGAGGAGCCAAGCAGGAATCAAGACGGGTCATTCGAGTCTCTTATTCACACCGCCTTGTCTATTCTACAAGGCTACTATGATTCTCGTTTAGATGCTATCAAACAACACGTGGTCGATTACATTCACAACGAAACGTTCGAAGCGACACATGCAGCCCGCACTCGTAGAGAGAAAGGCTGGTTTGAAAATATGGCTGATCAGAAGCAACAGTACGGGGATTACATTACGAATATGATGAACCGTCACTTTGCGTGGTATTCACAAAGAGCAGCATTAGGGCGGGAGAGCCTTGAAGCCCTGCGTGAGGGGGTCCGGAACGTATCGAATCAGCTTAAGGAGGAGTCCAAACAACGCCTTTCGCGGCTCACAGTCGAGGTTTCTGATAAAGTGAGACGTGCGCTTGACCAGTTTGAGCAAAATGTCTCAGAGGTCTACCAGGGATTGGAGCGGCAAAACTTTCTTACTCGCGAGGGGGATAGTGCCATCAGGCAGGCTCAGGAAGCAGAGGTAGAAGGCCGATGTGAAACTGAAGCTTCCGTTCGACGACAACTGTGGCGTGCGGAACTCATTGGACTCCAGGAGAATCTCACCAGAATGCGTTCTCGGGTAGACCGCCAGACGCGAGAACGCTTTGAGAAGATGCGTTTGGACGCAACGTCTGCAAGCAATCAGTGTGGAATAGGATCTATAGAGGCGCAGCTTAAGGAGCTCAAGGGACTCATTCAGGAGCAGATTTTGTCAGAGCAGTCGCAACGCAAGGAAACTGGGATTAATATTTCACAACACCATTCTCTGATAGCAGAGACTGAGCAAATAGTTCGCACCCTTATGTATACCGCACGGCGGCAGAAGGAGGAACTGGATACACGTCATCAGTGTTGTCAGGGACTACGTCAACGCGTACACGAAAATTTAGTAGAGACTGTGGAGCGCCTACAGGCGGGCAGGCAGGTTCAGAGGTCGCAGCAATCCAAAGTTGACTTTTCTCGCAGGATGTGGGAGCGTGACCATCAACAGAACCTTAGCGCGTCGATACGCCTGGAGCTGCCAGTGCTTGTATCTGCATTCTCTACAACACATGAGGAGTCGGCAGAGGAGGCGATTGTAGGGGTCGAAACTCATGCACCTTCAGGTGATATCACACTTGTGTATCTGCTTCAGCTCGTTGCTGATCGCTTGCGTGAGCGAGATGCACGGCATAAAAAGCTACGCACTACACACCAACATGAGTGGGCAGCTCAGAATATCGAGCTAGCATCTCTTGGAAAGCAATACGATGAGGTGTGCCAGCTTTGGGGCTTCATAGCGAATATGTTTAACGAACTACAACGCACACAGTCTTCCCTAGTGTCGAAGCAGGTTGAAGTTCATACTGAGGCTGCGCGGGCGAAGGTTGAGGGTGAGAAACTTGAAAAGGAACGGAAAGCATTAGTGGTTCGTCATGAGAATCTGGAAGAGCGAATGATGTCTGCTAAAAAGGGGTTGAATGCCGCGCTGGTTGTGCTGGAGCGTCAGAAACAACACCTCCAGCAGTTGTCCAATCTACAACTGCATCTTTTGCAGGGACAGCACCATTTTCTCAAACAACAACAGCAACTACCACAACACGAGGCGTTCTCCCAGCCCACCATGGCCACCTCGTATGGAAGGAAACAGAAAAATTCTTCCGAACAGGGAGCAAAGGTCAGGGGTGCTGTGATGACGGCCCCGCCAAACGGCGGCACGACTGTATTGGATGAGGAGAAGAACACACTTGATTCCTACGAAATAACCCAGCAGCATCAACACCAGCAAGTATTTCACTCGTCTTTATCATCTGTGCTGCCTGCATGGTCTACACATCGTGCCATGCGATCTTCGTCTAAAGACAGCAACGACGACAAAGCACGGCTAGGCGGATCAGCAACTTTATGCGCCGATCTGAAGGCTGTCACTCAGGTTGCATCATCCATGGCCGTGTTGAGCCCCACTCTACAAGATCTTACTCATCTTCCTGATTCTGCTGCCCCTCACTCCACCACACACGGAAAAGTAGTCGCTTGTTAATTTAGAACTACCCATTGTCCACTCCCAACCTGGCCATCTTTACTAGCAAAAGGCGAACAGCTATACTCCGCAGCATTCGTGTGAATCCAACGGGATTCCCTTGTGCCTGGTATCACCGCTTTTGATTGCGTATGCTTACCGATGAAATGGAAGTAATATGAAAACACTAATGAATACTTTGGATGTGATGACGATCTGTCATAGATACTATATCATACTCACGGCATTACAAGCTTCCATCCCGAGTTTGCGGTGTTCATCAACTCTCTCCGATTTTTTTATTCTGCAGAGGCACACAAATCATTCCGATTTGTCGCAAAGTTTTGGATGAAAGTGTTAGCTGTGGTGGCTACGTCAGCGTCTAGCATTATTTCCCTTGCGTGTTGCCAGCACTTGCTTCTGAGCCCTGTTCTTCTTGGGACTTACTCCTAGTCTCCCCTTTTTTTACCCTTTTATTCGTCTGAACTGGGTTGTATTGCTTGAATACTGAGGTACATAAACCAGCAACAATAAAAAGAGCGCTAGTAAGCGTGGCTGCGTAGCTATACTTGCTACCTATTCCGTTTAAGGAAAGGCAAGCTCAGCGCTGAAGTGACAACAAGAGCACCAAAATCTCAAAACGATGCGTTAGGTATTTCCCTCCCCTCACCATCTCTCCGTCCCTTCATGAATCTATGTGCACCCCTATTCATGTACAACTATTGTAATGTGGAAATATCAGCCCTCTGGGTTTCTATGGTTGTCCGTACTACTCAAATATTTCTATCTAATGGTGCATACACCTATAGGGCAGAAAAGAACCTTTGGGTCGCTCTTTTTTTGATGTCAAATCTTTCTTTTCATTTTTGTGTGATGGAATTAAGAAAGTGAATGACGGAAAAAGTGTTTTAAAAGCTTCTTGAATTTTACTGATATCATTACGAAAAACATGGGATCTGGACTCCAATATTTACGTATATATGATTTCTCTTTTCTATATTATAGCGAATCCTTTTGAAAAGGATTATATAAACCAATAGGAACTCAGACGTTTAGTTGCTGCAAAAACTGTCATTCGGTTCTTTTTTTCGCTAGACATGAATAAGGTGATCCTAACGACGTACCGCAGTCTGCTGAAGATGTGCAGTAGAGCCGATCGCGACCTTGGCATGCGTTCCATGCTATCCTGTGCTCCAATCCAAGTGTACAATCATAGCATCAATGAGTGGGTACCGCTGAACGTGGGGAAGCTGTCGTCGTGGCAAGATAGTCGCATTTTTGTCGACAACTTGATTCGACGCCTTAACAACATCAGGCAATTTTACATCCCACCAAGCCTACATGAAGAGACTGTGACGGCCATGAATTTGCATCGCTTGAGGATTGCGCAGCAAAAGGCCGATGAGTCAATAAAGGATAGCAAACCTGTAAACCCAAAGGGGGATGAACCCGGGATGAAGGCCTCATCTTCGACATCAGCTCCAGGGGATAGACCCGCCTCTGAATCAACTTCAAAGGGGTTCGAAAATTCTAGTAATGCTGTCATTACGCGGGTTCCTTTGGATGTAAAGCCATACGATCTCTTGTGTCCAACTTTGCGTTTTTTTTTCGAAACTACACCCTTTTCCGCAAACCATCTTGCCAACGCCTTTGCTGCTGTCAAGGAATTGAGCTACCTGTGTAAGATCGCTGACCAGCATAAGGATTCTATAGTGGGGGTTCCAGTTGAGCTCCAAAACATCGATCGTCCTGTTGTTCAACGCATACTAGAGTTACAACCAATGCATCATCTTCACCTTATCAAAGGACTCACAGACGAGCTCCGACAGTCACTTATGAGCCGGGGCGCCCGTTACGCCCACAAGATAGAAGCCAGAAGAAAAGAGGCTCGCGGAAAGGTCGGACGTGGGTCCGATGAGGAAGTGGATGTGTCTCATTCGGAGAGCGGTGATATAGGCAGTGACACCGAGGAAAGTGTGGAGCTGACTTCCGAAGGTGGGGCCGCCGAAACGACGGAGTCCAAGCAAGCGGAGGAGGCCTCAATCGATCCCGCGTCATCTATTCATCTTGAAGAAGCTGAGGGTGCTGTTGAAGAAGACACGGCTGACGATAACGATGTAGACAACGATGAGTCGGATCAAGCGGCGTCATCTGTTCCTACAACCCCAAAGACTGTGCAGTTGCTTCTGGCGCACCCGCAGCTTTGTGGTTTCTTTCGCCACAGCGTGATGTTGGTAGTAAGACACGCCAGCAACGAGTCAGCCGCCTTTGTTCTCAACAAACCACTTGAGAACGATGAAGGGACTCAGGTGCCAGTAGGCGCGACTGTTCGCTTCAGTCGTGTGCACAAAATTTTCGAGAAGTATTTTCGCATGCACACTATTATGGTGGGCGGCCCAGTTATGATGGGCACATTCGAGGACAATCTGTTCCTGCTCCATTCAATTCCAGGGATACCCAACGCGCTTCCTATCGCGGATGATTTGTGGCTCAATGGTGATTTTGATGTCTTAATGGAAAAACTTGACGCTAATGAGGTGTCACCAAAGAGTGTGGTGATAATGTGCGGCTTCTCGGGATGGGGAGCGGATCAACTTAGAGGGGAGATAGAGTCCGGCACATGGATAGTGGCTAGCGCCTCCCCTAACGATTCGCGAACATCAAATATGGTTCTTTCGGTTTCCCGCCACTCTGGCGCGCACGCGCTGTGTGAGGCTGATGGTGACAAGGTTCCAAAGAAGGATTCTGAAACAGAGACTTCAGATGAACAAAAGGTATTGAATTCCTTAGGTGGCGGCAGTTCTGGGAACCCTTTTCGTGCACGGACAAAATTCCAGGGGACGGAGTCTTGGGTGTGGATGTACGATTCACTCGGCGAGCCACTGTCTGGACTGACAAGGAATCAAAAGCCCGAGGCAGTAGAATCTCCAGATCGAGAATAGGTCGTCATGCCGTTTCCCAGGGGTGGGAGGACGCAAGAGTAGTGCTGCTCTCAATCGAAGAGATCGATTCAATTACGAAATCTATCGTTACTTTAGTGATTTCGTGTCGAGGTTAGCGCAGTCTCAACATAGTCAGTTGAGTTTAGAATCTCATATTAACTACTAGCACGTGTTTGATAAATAAGTGCTGCGTTATGCTTCCCCAAACTGTGAATGTTACTCTATCTCGAAGTGGAAATGTGTGATGTTCATCTTGTATTTGTAGTGTTAGCGATGAGGGATTTTTTTTTTCCGCTTTTCTTGAAGAAAATTGGAGCTTGTTTCGAACATAATGGAGTCTTTTTCAATTTTTTCTTTTCATAACCCTGCCGACAACATTGCCTAAATGGTAAGCAGGGAACGTCATTTTTGTTGATCCTAAGTAACCCCTGTCGCTACCTGTAGTTTTTTAGGAGTGTGGGGAAACGAAATCATACCATTAGAATTACAAAGCAGAGTAAATTGAAACAGGTTCTAGAGGTTGCATGTAATGAATGAAGATGAGAGGACTAAGCTATATTTAATAAAAAAGGGTGTACCAGTGCTATTTAGTAATGTCAATCGATCGAAGATGATCTTACTTTTAAATGTGTTGTCTTTTCCTCATATCAACCTGAGGTAACCCCCAACTATTCTGTTGATATTAAGCCCATATCTATTCATGGATATACTTATGTGCATACGGTTCCTTAGTTTCCGCGATGTTATATCTCGTGCTCATTTTCCTTTGCTTTTTTTCCTTTCAAAAAATGCATAGTGTGTAACACGAATCGAAATCAAGGACCCGAATCCGACTGAGAACCATGGGTGTTGATCTGACCGGTGTGTCCAAGAAGAAGCGTGTGGTCCGCCACCACACCTACTCGACGAACCCTTACATCAAGCTTCTCATCAAGCTCTACAAGTTCTTGGCCAAGCGCACCAACTCCGGTTTCAACAAGCTCGTCTACCAGCGTCTTTTGAAGAGCCGCAGTAACCGCGCGCCGGTCTCGCTTAGCCGCATCGCGGTCGTCATGAAGCGCAAGTCCAGCTTCCTTGAGAAGAGCAAGAAGGCGCCGATCGCCGTCGTCGTGGGCGATATTCTCGATGATGTCCGCATGGCGCGCATCCCGGCCCTCCGTGTGTGTGCGCTGCGCTTCTCGAAGAACGCGCGGCAAAGCATCACGGCCGCTGGTGGCGAGTGCTTGACCTTCGACCAACTGGCTATGATCGCACCCACGGGGAAGAATACGTTCTTGTTGCGCGGCCGTAAGTCCGGACGTGAGTCGGTCCGCCACTTCGGTGCCGCCGGTGTGCCTGGCAGCCACGCCAAGCCGCATTGCTCGAATCGTGGTAAGGAGACGAAGCGCGGCCGCCGTCCGGGCTGCTCCTACAAGCGCAAGTCCTTCCGTCATGTCTAAAGGATATGGTGGAGATGAGACGCGATTTCATGGAGAAAACCGAAGCTTTGTTTCACACATACACAAACTCATCGATTTTATTTTTTGGGTGCATAAAGTATCCCTCTTAACTAAATATAAATAGCGGTGTGTGGGCCTGGAATATGCCACCTGCAAATTAACACGCTTCCTGTTTAAAAAACGATTGGAAAAGTGCCTTTGTTCTCCCTATTCGAATTTTCGTCTGCCTCTCCTCTTTTTTTTTTTGCGTGCTTTTTCCTTGACTTCTAAAAGCTTCTACGCTTCCAAAAGGCCTTTCTAACAAACTTCTTCTACAACAGCAACTTTCCAAGTCACAATGGCTGAGACGACCTTTGTTGAGGAAGTTCCCCTGAATGAGGAGACCACTCGTATCATAGATGATGAGCCAAGCTCTCTTGAGGATGCCATCCGGATTGTCATTCAGAAGTCGCTTGAGGTGAACGGCCTGGTGCGCGGCCTGACTGAGGTCGCTCGCGCTCTTGACCGTAATGTTGCTCACCTCTGCATCCTGGCCGAGGATTGCGACGATGAGGAATACAAGAAGCTTATTACTGCCCTCGCGAAGCGCGGCTCGATCGACCTCATCAATGTGGGTGAGCGTGAGAAGCTTGCTGAGTGGGCTGGACTTGTGCGCAAGAATGCCGCTGGTGAGATCACGAAGACGATGAAGTGCTCCAGCGTTGTTATCTACGATTTCGGTGAGAAGACGCGCGCCCTGGACTACCTGCTGTCCAAGCTTCACTAAGTCATTCTTCATTTTCACTTTGTTTCTATCATCCAGTGTTACCAAGGGGGAGATAATTGTTTATAATTTGGAACGATTCGAATAATACGATCCTTATTTCTTCCATTTGATTTCATTTGGCGGTGATTTCCAAAGGAAAAGGTGAGATACACATTGAGAGATACTAGAACGCGTAAGAAGCCATGCATTTTGTTTTTTAGTTTCTAAAGAAAAAATTGAACGAACACGCTTTAGACAATCAGAAAAGACGAAGTGTTGTACACTGACGCTCCGTTTTTTGTGATTGTTGTCGTGCGTGCTTATATGTGCGATGGGACTTTCCGCTTACTGGAATGACAGGAAAGTATCAGTAAATTTATATGGCTTATCTTGACACCTCTTTCCCTTTTTTTCTTCTTTAAAACTTTAGGAAAGGTTCACATAGAGAATTCGTGATTTAGTGCCCTTATACTATTTACTTTATCCCTCGGTTTTGGGCGCTTTTGAGTATCAGAAGCGTCGCTTTTTCCTCCTTCTTTACGCCATAGAAGGGAGGAAGGGGGGAGGGGGGAAGGAGTGGAACATTCCGTTAAACCATTTGTTTGTGATTTTGTATTTCATTTTTATTCCCCAGACCACAGAGTCGGAGGACATAAAAAGTGTAAAATATTAATTGTATTATTTTCATAGGAGGGAGGGGCACATATAAACATGGCCTCTAATAGCCGTCCTCCCGTGAAGCCGGAAAAGCCTTTTATTCCTCCGTTGACACTTGAAAGCTGTGAGACCGGTGGTGGCTGGGGAGTTGGTGAGATCTTCGCACGACTCCCCCCTGCACAGGAGCAGGCAAAGAGTCAAGAAAAACTCTACCGTGTAGCAAAGTCTCCTTCACAAGCCGGTAATTCGAAGTCTCTGTCCCTGAAGCCAGCAGTAAAGGGTTCGTCGACGGTATCGGTAGCGGCAACCAAAAATGGTGTAAATGGTGTCGCACAGAGCATGTCCGGCGTTGTGCATGAGCATCCCTCAGGAGCTCGCGGTGTAGATAGGAGTCTCACTGAAGTTCCCTATGTAAGGGCCGACAGTGGTAACGGCGTCCCAGTAGTGGTTTACAACCACCAGAAAGATGACGATGACAACACTTTTATTGATCATGGTAGCACTGCAAATGGTGTCTATGCGCAGAAGGCTACACCAAATGGAGGAAATTCCACTAAAGCGATGTGGCGACCTTCGCAAGAAAAAACCCTTTCAGCTTATCCCATACCGTCGTGGACGAATACACTCAAACCAAATCCAGTCCAGAGCATACGCGTCAATAGTAATTCTGCTGCTGCAATAAACAACTCTATTGCTGTGCCCGGGCCACAACTTGGTGTGGAGAAGCTACCTACCGGTGCCAATGTGAATAGCGGTGCTAGTGCCAGTCCAACAGCTGCGACTTCTTCGTTAGCCCTATCGCTCCCTGCCAAAGAAGCAACCCTCAAGGCGGGTGGTCTGCCTATCACCTCCGCTTCTGCGGACTGCCAGCGCGTGGTAAGCTCCTATGGTAGCAGTGATGTGGTTACGACAGTGTGGCGGCCGCCACGTATTGTCTCAGAGTTGTTACTAGATGCGCCCGCACGCGACTTGGCGGTTTCACCAGACGGTGGTGCCGTCTGGGCGGCGTTCGGGGACCACCCCCCGACCCTGTTTGAGGTGTGCAGTGAGAAGAACACGCTTGAGTCGGTGCGCTCCGTGAATTGGGTGACGCAGGTGTACTGCATGGCGGTGGTGCCACTTCCAACCGCCAAGTGGATCACCTTTAAATCGGTCACGGCGAATGAGGGGCCGGAGCCCAATCTTAACCCCAGCAGCTCTACGAAAAGGAAGGATCGACATAGCGCGAAGAATTTCCACTTACACAGAGGTTTATCGTCGTCGATCACGGATGACAATCTTTGCACGTATGCGCTGTGGTGTGGTCTGAGTCGAGGAAATATTAGCATTGTCGATCTTCACAACTTCAGCGACTCTGGTGCGATCAATGGTGCGCATGACCAGGCTGTAAACAAAATTTGGTATTTAGAAAATGGTCGAGTCTGGACCGCGGGTCGTGACAAGGCACTCAAGGTATGGGATCCTCAGACTCGACGCATGCTCAAGAAACGGAACATCGCGGCCGTCCTGTCTGACCTTTGTTACGTGCCCACCGCGCACCAGGTTTGGGCAATCGCGGATGACGCCTATATTCGTGTGTACGAAGCTGGGGGTAATAACGTTCGGATACAGAAGCGCCCTATTGATCATGCCGAAAATGCGCTGAAGATGCGGAGCGATGTCACCCTGATTGAGTACCATCAGGATGGGAATTTTGTCTGGGCGAGTATGAGCAAAAGCACGGTGTTGATAGACCCGCGTACATTCGCTGTAAGCCAGACCTTACTAGTCGCCCTCACGGCACTTGTATTTCACAAGAAGACAGCCATTATATGTGGGCGTGGACCATTGCTTCTGGATAACGACGCCGATAGCGTTGCTATCCTTGACGTCACCAACCCGGTGGAGCCCTCTTTATTGTTTTCCGGGTTCCGCGTAAACGCACCAAGCGGACTTGGGATTCGCCTGCTTACGGCAGCGCAACCATTTGCTATCCTTGAGTACTACAGCACACGAAATGATAAAAAAACTCTTTGCATGTTTACTTATGAAGAGTTTAACGGTAGAGTGTATCGTGACGAAGAAAATATTCCACCGCAACGTAAGGTAAAAGGGGGCATGCCCAGCGTACCATCCCAAAATGTTCACCCGATTTCTCCTGTTAATGCTGCGGTTGGTATCAATAGTGGTGTTGCTGCCGCTAATGTTGTTAACGCTGGTGCCGCAGCGAACAAGCAGCTCGTAGGCCGTGCTTCATCGCCTGCTAGTTTGATCACCGCCAACAACCACATCCTCAACTCCAATACACCTCATGTACATCCAACTCCATCATTAGTTCGCGCTGTCGTTCCCGCATCCGGGCCCTCAACTAGTTTCAACGGCAACCTCCTCGTTGCCTCTGCTGAAGTCTCCTCTGCGCTTGACCAGATGGACAGAAAGTTGGAGGAGGTAAGGAAAGCTGTCGCAATCGAGCGGCGTGAGAAGGGGCCCTTGAGTGACTTTTCTAAGCTGCACAATACACTCACCGGATGGGTAGTAGAAGTCACAGACTACGCACTGCCCTCCCTACCGCCAGCTGTTGTGGAGGAGCTTAGCAGGGAGTACGAGACTCCGGAAGGAAAGGCGTTGGCAATCGCCTTTGCGAGACTGCAATGCGCTGTGACTGGAAGAAAGCATCCTGCAGACGTGGCAGCAGGCGTCCATGGATCAGAGTATTTTGCTGTCATGCCGACTCCACAGCCGGCGACTTCTAACTCTAAAGTTATCTCGACACATCCCACGGCACCAGCTGTACTTCCCGCTCGCATGTACGCCTATAGCGAGAATGGTTCCACCCCGCAGACACCATCCTCTGAGGCCACCAATGGCGGCTGTGGCGGCAGCTTCTCATGGTCAGCACGTGCAGATCTAAGCGCGAGGGCAGCAGAAGCTCAGATTCAGGCGGGGGGCAGTTATGCAGGTAAGAATTCTAATTCCTCGGAACAGATCCTCCTTCAGCTTATAAAGGAAGAACGACAAACTCATCAGGCCCAAGTACAAAGCTTGCAACAGCACAATTCTCGCATTCACGCGCGTCTGGAGTCCCTTATCACTGGCGTCAAGGATTTTGTAGGTAGGACAGTAGGGTCTTATCAAGAACTGAAAAGCATACGAATGAATGGTCTGCCACAGGACACGCTCATGTTCTACGACCGTTTTATCGCAGTTTTAGAGCAGACACCACTCCTTTCCATAAATTCCTGCAGTTCTCGAGAGGAGATTGCTGATGTACTTCGTAAGCAAGCGGCTGCATCTGAAACAAATATTCATGCCCTTCGAGACTTTGTATGTGCATTATGTAAAGCTTGCACGGTGGCTACCCCCAACTACGGCAACTCATTTAGTCCCTTATTTTCCCTCGACGGTTCACAACGCATGCTATTGCCACAAGCGCAGGCCTCCTTATGGCCACACGATCTTCCTCACAGCAACGCGCAGTCCCATTCTGTCGATGAGGCATTTTCAAGTAGCGCGGGCATATTGTTGACGAAAACTCCACAAGCATCGACGTCCCGAGGTTCCCCAGTCTTTAGATGGGCGCAGAATGAAACGGTGGATCGCGCCAGTGAGATTGAGTGGTATTTACCAAGCATTGCCTGCAGCGCTCTTTCCCAGGTTCAGCTTATTCGTCTCATCGGAGAGGTAGCCGCCAATGTTGAGGAATCTATGAAGCAAGTGGAAGGCAGATGGAACATGCTTAAGCAGAGTCGCCGCCAGGTGATGGATGACATCACTAAACGATGTAGCGGATCTAGCAAAGGTGAAGAGCGCCTGAGTCACACTGTTGATTTATCGGAGGACTTCATGCAATGCACGGCCGTATGGGATCTTTCTATCGCCGAGATATTCATCCGGATGTGTAAAGACGAGGCATCATTAATCATAATGGAGGCGTTATTGGAATGGCGGAGGGATGCTCACCCTCGATGCTCGACCTGCCAAACAGGTGCCTATGAAAATCCCTCCCAAAACTGGGTTCATACGATACTTAGTTCTGGATATCGCAAGAGGAGCATTGCACATCCTTACCTATCGCGCGCGGAAGGAGCTGACAACCTTGCACGACTATCGGGGGGTCTATTTTGCCCTGAATCTCAGTCATGCGGTAAAGTGGAACGTGATTATGTCATGAGTGGCGTCCCCAATGATGATAATAGTGATGTAAACCATAAGGGCGACTGGATTAGTGACGACGACGCGTTTAACGCATCGCGCGGCAGCGAATCTAGTGCTACTTGGGTTGCAGCATCGCAACAGGTTTCCATGCTTTCACTGAGGATGGAGTCCGTGGTTGCGAGCATACGGACATCACTGCAGCAGGAGATCAGTTGCGGTGAGAATGTTCTAAAGTCTTTGCCCGAGCAGGAGGCGCCGCTGTCGTTTTCTGTGTCTGAATCCGGCGAAGAACCTGTCGCGTCACCGAAAGGTGCAGAATCTAAGGGACTTAGTGCGGATAATGAAAGAGAAGACGATTGCATAGCATTTAACAAAGATCTATACCTGGGACTGGCAGGTCCAGAGCTACGTCGTTTAGTCAAAACGCATGCCACTCGTTTGGACGGTTTTCTGCATTGGGCGTGGGTGGGCGTATACCTTACAGCCTTGTGCCTCAACAGTATCTGTGCATTGATTTATCCAACCGCATCATCGTTATCAGGGAAAGACAGCAGCTCATCCTCTTCATCACCACCCCTCTCACGCATTATAGATACAGGTAACTTCCTCGTGATCAACAAGAAGTTGATCGACTGCGCATACTTTCTAAGTAATGTGATGACCTATAGCTATGTGACGCGTTGCGTATTGCTGGGATGGCAGGCATCACCAAAATCTACCATGTTGTCTGCAAATAATCCAGTACATCATGATAGTTGCCAGTTTGGGATTAGTAATGCTCACCAAGGCCCATTAACCAATGTTAGCTGCGCTTCCACAGGAGGGCGTTCGTTTCCTAATGAAACACTCCAATCGCCAACAGGCGAGAGTGTTCTCTTGAACAGTATGAATTTCGACTCTACGTTAAGCAATAGCAAACCAAGCAAAGACCACCATAGCAACCTTAAGTGCACCTTTGGTCACTGTCATTCTAACAGCACTAGTATAGCAGCGTCAGACGATGTAACAGTTTCTCGCGTGTGGGTTCGAAGAGACTTACGCAAGCGGCAGTGGATCTCATTGTTTAGTTTCTACACTCGACTAGTCCTGCAGCAACAGATTCCGCCAGAGTTGTTTCTCCCATCTGGCAATGAGGAAGACGTTGATGACGACATTCATGTTAAGCGAGTTTATACGGAAAATAATGGCGTTACCGATAGTGTGTCGCGACGCTCGGGTCGATCTAAACAGGCGGCGCAATCGCAGCATGGTGAAGATAATTCTCAGCAATCTGGTAAATCTCGACATGCTCGACGGAATGATAGTGAATTGCAGCAAGTTACATTCTATCTTGGTAAATATGCAGAGAAGGTGAGCGCGCTTTTTGAAATCGCGTCTAATGCTTTAGAGAACTGCCACCAGCTCGAGAAGCGTATGCATACCATAGGGCGGGAAAACAGTGGTGATAGCATGAGCGATGCAGGCAGTAACAAGGAACGGGGGAAAAATACTAATGAAGGGTGCGCAGCCAAAATATCAAACACAGTCACTGTATCTTATGTCAGTGAGGCTGAGAGCCTGCATGCAATCGATCCCAAGACTATACTGTGCCACATGTAAGCTCTTGTAGGTTTTTCCTTCACGTTCATTTCATGTTTTCTTTTTCTTGGTCTGGAAAGGATGTAGTTACATATATTATCGCTTCCATTGTAATCCCAATGTGCGTTCTTAGAGCGTGTTTTTCGACTCCTTTATATTCCTTCAATGTGCTCTTTTGGGGTCCTGGAAGACAAGAAAAACTCTCATCTTGATTCGTGTTCCAAGGAAATATGAATGTACATAATGGTGAAGAACAGTTAATACTGAAGTCAGGCCGATAAATGGCTCCCGAGTAACCACCATGAGGAGTGATTGATTTGAAATTACGAACAAAAAGTATACAAAAATATTTGTAAAAGCTTATGGTTTCATTTTTTTTTATCATTTGTATACAGCCACACGCTTCGATACTATATCCATAGTCTTTTTGCTTACTCGTAAATAAAGAAAAATTGCCGAATAAATTGCGCGTCAATTTACAATATATGTGTATTATCATTACCGTTATTATTATCATTATGACATTTCACTATATTCTAGGCTTTATGAGAGTTTCTTCTGCATCATACCTTTTATACATTTGGCATGCAGTAGGGATGTGTATTATATTTCTGAGCTATTTTCATTTCTTATGATATCAAATTCACCAAGAAGCTGATTCTTCAAGCTTGCTTACTTATTGCGTACGATTGATGAAAGATGCAATAAGATGGACAACGTTGACGATAGTGCAACTATATTTGCTCACCAACATCAGCGTTAATTTTGTGATTGAATGAAGGCAATAGCAAGGTGATATTTTTTTTTTAAATGGACAAAACTACTAATGATTAGAAGATCCAAAAACAATGGTTAAGTCAAACGCTGTAGACCACCTGTCAGGATGCTAGTGCATTTAAGAAAGTTTCATTTTACGAGGCTTACAAAAGAAAAACAGTTAGGTTATGAGATTCAGAAGAAAATATCTATATTTGAGTGAGAGTATTCTTCTTGAATAGAAATTCAATCAGTTTGAAAGAAACAATCAAGAGTACATCACATTATAGCTACAGTCCTAAGGTTAGATTTATAACCTAAGACTGAAAAAAGTGGCAGAAAAACATGATACAACAAATCCATGGGGAAATGATCAAAATCAGTAAATATTATGCAAGAAAAAACATTAGAAAATCTGTTGCATTATTCATTGCGTACCTTCTAACTAAATCTTTGTACTATATATGTAAACACGTGCATAAACATACCCGATGCTGCACTTTTGATTCATTTGTTGAGGCTACTCCGAATGGCAACAACAAAAATGTGTTACCAATAATTCTATATCAATGCAGGACGGGAGTACATTGAAATTACTGGTCTTGTTATTACTATTACCACTTCCTTTCGGGCACTTGCTTACTGCATGCCCAAAGGCTTGCTGTCTTTGTTTGTTAATTCGACTATACAATGATTTTGTGTAGCCTACTATTAGTATTGTTATTTTGCAAGCTAAGTACATTTTTGCCGATATCTCCCCCTTATTTAATGCTGAAGAACTAGTCGTAAGGCGAATTATTGCACACAGAAACGGCGGAGCAGGGTCCATTGACTCGCTTGGACGAATATGTTTCCATTACACCTGTACTTCGCTAACATCAGTACGAGGGATTATCCCAACTTCACCAGGGAGGAGCATGACCTACAGAAGCCTGGAGTTATTCTTGGAAAGCATTACGCTCTCAGAGGCATCCGCATCGTGGTGCCGATCAGCTGTGGGCTCTCGGTAATGTATTTTTATTTCTATCACATTCCGCGTTTGGCGATGGCAAAGCGCCCACTGGCTAAACTCTCGCACTATTTCTACCCTAGCGCGGCCTACGGCACCCCCGTAGGCTTGCTCGGGGGGCTTACTTACGGTGCTATTCAAGAGAACGCACGCCTCCGCGAGGACGTCTTGACAAACACGCTTCAGCAGCAGCGTCAGGCGGTTGAAGAGGCGCTACGGCATTTTGAAATCCGCCGCGCACGCGCCTCCGCGCGCGTTGAGGCGTCGTTACCCTGGTATGTGAAGCCTCTGGTGTTTTTACACCTTGTGGAGGATCCGGTGGCCGCCCAGCTGCGGCGCATGGGTCTCTCGCGCAAGTCTTGGCAGGATCTGGTCGAACCCAACAGTTTGCTCGGGGTTTCCATGCGTTATAGTAGGGTGGAGGATCCGCGGTGGTATCGGCCGTCATCGTCGGTTGGAGACCCCTGTAATGGACCGATGAAGGAAGCCGCTTTCCATCGAGGGAGTTCAAAGGAGGGGCATGTGGTTTCATCAGACCAGGATCGCCTTGCCAAGGTAGGTCCCGGTGGTCGCATCCGAGGGCACTCCCTTAGGGCATCTGCACCACCTCCCCCAGCTCAGCCCTATTTGAGCAAACTTCAAACAGATGCTCTGGTAAGTCGAGTGATGCAGCTACAGGCCTCTCCGGAGGATAATCGATGGCTCCGTACTGGCGGTCGCTTCTCGCTTTACGGCATGGTAACGATGCTTGTTATGCTAAACAACAGGGGCATGTGGTACCGCACGAGCATGGGATTAGGCTTTGGGGTGGTCCTAGGAGCTGCGATTTCAGCTACACGATTGGATGAAATATTTACTCATTTACGATAAAAGCGCCGCTTCCTTCTTCACTTTTCCGCTGCTGCTGTTTTTCCCCTTGCGGTCCCTCTCTTTTTTCTTGGTGCATTATTTGAAGGCGTCTATGCATCCAAATCAGGCAACGCTTTCGAGTAGTCTCATGGGCACCATATCCTTATGTTTGTATTCGTTCACGTTTTGGGTAATCATGATTTCCAGAACCGACTCCATCGGGATGGACTATGTGTGGCGTCGCCACGGTCCTGTCAAAGTTTCTGGTAAGCGTTGTCAAGCCAGTAGCGGTGGTTGATAAGCATCTTTGGATGAAATACCTGCCTCGTGGGGCATTATTTGGACCGGAAAAAAGCCCATGCACCCTTCATTGGCGTTTTCCTCCTTTTTGGCGCTTTTCTTTTGTGAAGGAAAGTAATTCTTTTCTCTCAAAAATCCAAATATAAAGTGTTACACCTTGTTTGTTTCATTTTCTTGAAGCATACTGTACTAAAGCCGAGTGTGCGGTATTCGGCAATTAGCTTTTCCTCTTCTTCCATATAGAAGTTATGGAACAAAAGGATGCAGGTGCAACTCAGGAGCAATCCATACAACACACAGCAGGGACAAACAATGACACCCAAGGGTCCTTATTGCAACTGGTAGCACCTTTTATCGAATCGGCTCCGCCTGGCAAGTTAAAAGAGGTTGTGTTTCACCTAAAGAGTCTTTTACTGAGGCTTCTGGCGGTGCGAAACCACGGAGCGCCGCCGCACAGCCAAATCCCAGCCAATGAGCTTCACAACTTTCTTCAAAGCTGCATTCCTGCACTTTGCCTCCGCCGTATTCTTCAGAAAGATGGAAGCATTGCTTCTCTCGCTACCACTAAGTTACCCCAGTTTCGGGATCAGCTTTCGCAAAGCACCACGAATACAAGGGACGACGGTAAGGTGAGCAGTGGCCTTGCACAGCGAAGGATTCATTTAGTGCTTAGCCACACTAATCATCTCTTGTCTTGGGTAATAAAAGTGAATAGCGCGAAAAGCGTTGATGGGAGCGGATATGTGTGCGATGCGGAGCAGGTTTCTCGTGGAAGCGCGTCGTCATGGCATCAGCAGAGGTCAATGCTGAGTGCCAGTCTTTCGGACCTCACTGCTTCGTTACCTCCTGGGATAGCGGCCTTACCTTCCTATGGTGTTGACATCAAAAACGAGAACATGTTTCCGTGGCTTAGTGATCATACGGAGACTTCCCATAGTACCGTCGAGAACAGCTTTTTATCAGCTGCGGCGACTGAAACCGGGCGACGAGGTAGAAAAAATAGGTTCTGTAGTAGCTTTGAGGGGGATGCCAATACTATAGCCATCTTGAGTGACTTGAAGAAATTTTTTAGCCACGTCCCGTCTATATTTCTAGCGGGAGGAAATGAGGATCCTGAGGTGAGGAATACAAAAGACAATTCTGGTTCCGCACAAGAACATGGCCCTAGTTCAGGGGATGAAGAGGCTGAGGTAGAGGAGGAAGAGGATTTATTCCGTGACCTGTATGCAGTGAGTTATGGGTTTGATCGTCTCGAGAACGTTTTTTTTGATCTTTATTGGGGGCTTTATGTGGAAATAGATGTTGTCGTGGGCCGTTGCATTCGTGTGATTTCCTTTAGTGCAGTTGACGAAGCCATTTCATCGGCTCAGGACTTACCAACATCTTTATTTTATTTGTTTCACCAAGAGCTCAAACTGCAGCGTCAACCTGAGGGCAAGGACACCGCCAAGGAGGCTGTTGGAGCTACAGAACACGTGAATTCAGCAGAAGGTGCTCTTTCTGGAGCTGCAGACCGTAGTAACGAGCTTGGGGTCAATATCCCACTGTTTGATACTCTCTTTTCCGGGGTGCGGAAGAGGCTGGAAACAGAGCTTCAAGCTCAATTCCAATCTTTCGAGGATAACAGTGTTGCGACCTATGTGGGAGTCAAGGGATTAGATAAAGAGGAGAATCTGAGCAACCTTTTGAAGGAATATCGTGAGAAATGGTCTGCCGCGGGCGTGGCAAAGATGAGGGAAAATGACGCAGGTGCGCCAGATCCGCCGCTCGCTTGGCGAGTGGCGGATCGCATGGCCATGGGTGCGGCGAGCGCCTTCACTGCCGTGGTGTGGCTGCGCGGATTTCTTGTTAACAGTAGGGTGGATCTCTTACCAGGAGAACACATGGAAGCTGAACCGCCGGTTGCACCCAAAGTTGCGAATCCCGAACCCATCATTGCCTTGGATCCCTCGCCGCGCGATCTGAATAGTAGCACGCAGCCGGATAAACCATCGGTATTGCCCTCAACACTTTCTGTTACATATTCCAAATCACGGGGTGCGCCTGTGCGGGGTTGGTGTAGTATGTGGACCTCACGCTATGAGCTTTGTCGTGCGGAGCAGCGGCACGGTGGAGTGGATTTAGCTTCACCGAAGGACTTTTCTCTCCATAAGCCGTGCGGCGCGGAGGTAATTTCAGACGATAGCCCTCAATGCCATCGCAGGGCTTTGCCTCTGGGCGTCGCCGACGCCCCTGATGCGCCCTCGTCGACACCTCCAGGCAACGACGGCAAGGCGCTTAAACAAACAAACAACATGACTGATGATGGCGGCCCATCCTTGGAATCCTACAAGTCGCCGTTTGATGTGACCACGCGCGAAGCCTGCTCGTTTATCATTTCCGCAACGAGTGAGGTGTGGTTGTTTCACGAACCGGCTGCGGGTGGCGGCACTGACAACACGCGCTCGGATTTCATTCATTCTTCCTCCGAGGCGGGGTGTGGTGGTGCCTGGGGCATTCACAACCAGGAAACTTCCGCTGCGTTTCCTGCTACCCCTGGGGGTATGCATCAGCGGTGGGTTGTGCGCTGCCCAATGGAGGGGTTACCGACGGCGAGTGTTAATGTAGACGTGGTCACCGACGCGGTGCTTGCTCGAATCAGCAAGCACGAACAGATGGTTCGAGATTCGATTATACGTGTCTGTAACAGAATTCTACGGCCAAAGCGGTTGATAGGGATATGCTATCCGCATCAGGAAGCGAAGTCCCCATTGTCATCCTTGCTACCACAATGCATTCCATTCTTGGCTTCCAAAACAAACTTTGATCCACTGCGATACGATGAGAGTATTTTGTGCGTTCCTTTCCCTACCCCTTCACAGGAGGAATCCTGATAACAGGAAAGAAGGGGGCTATTGCAACGCGCCTTTTCTCTTATTTGGAATTTGTGCATTATTTTCTCTCTTCTGCTTCGCAGAAGAATCATTCTGCATAATTCCAAAACGAATTCTAAAAAATTAGTTCTGAGTGACGCTTTTTACCCCTTGATTTTTCCACCATTTCACTCATCCACTGAACGCTTTTTCTTGGTGTTTCCATTTTTGTTTGCGAAGCAGAAACAGAAAAAGCAACTGGAGGATAGCTGAGACCTAGGCACAGCTCATCTGTTTCCTTTTCAGCGTTTCAACTAAAAAGGAAAGACCACAGACTAGCGAAGTTGAGGATCGGCTTCTAAGAGCTGAAAAAGTCTCAAGCACCAAGTTTTTACCAAGACTGTGTGTTTAGGCTTTCCTCTGATAAAAAATATTAGTGATAGTTCTCTAGTAATATACTAAGGATCAATTCTGCTCCTATGGGAATTCATCAAGCGTATGGCTTCATTATCCCACATCGATCACATCTGCGGCTGCTGAATTTTTCCTCTCCATGGCCAACCTACCGTTTCCCAGCCCCTCTGCGTTGTTTTCATGCCCGGAGTCATTATATTCCGGACGACATGTTGCTGAAGCGTTGCTACGCTGCTGTAAGCTTTGCCATGGACTCATCACGCAGGGGAATCTCTTTTCTTGCTTCATCGCCCGAATATCCATCCAGGGAGGTTTTCGAGCCTCTGGCTTTTTCATCACCCAAACGAGTTTCTGTCAGGGCGATTCGAAGCACCACTGAGGCGTCTGACACCTCTTTGCTCATCTATGCGGGTTATTCTCAAGATCCCGCAGCAGATCCAGAGCGTGATGGCAAGGTTACAAATCACAATACTACCGACAACCTTCCCCCCTCGATCTCTCAGGCGACGTCGTTTGCCGTGTTGGATCGCGATGCCTTCCAATTAATGATCGATGAGGCCTTGGCCACGTATTCGCTTGAGGAAGAGGAGTTCAAAGGCTGTTCTACGAAACGTAATCCTCGGCACTGTACCGCAGGTCCACTTGTTGTTGGGTGTGATAGATCATCCGATGGAAGCGAAAGTTCTTTGGCAACGGACGTGGTCTCGATGCAGGCACCAAACCACTTAACACGCGAACTTCATCGACTTCTGCGTGAATCTGAATCTGAACTGGCCCCGCTTCTGAAGGTGAAGGCGCCCATCGATGCTTATATCGATCGCGTGTATTACCCGCTTCTTGTATATTCGTACTTTGGTCTTTTTGCTCTACACTTCGTTATCTACTTCAACTGGATTTTCTTTGTCTTTGATTGGAATCTAGTCGAGCCCACAACATACTTTTTGGGCTACACTGGCGTTTTTTTCGCTTTGGTATTCCATTATATGCGGTGTGACGTGTCCGACGATGAATTCACACACAAGCATTTTCTAACCTTTATAGCTGAAAAACGAAGGGCAAAACTCTACAGAAAAAGCCAGTTGGATGAGAGTCGAGTTCGCGAGCTGGAGGTTCTGATTAAGGATGTCAAAAGAGAATTGCATCGAAGCTAGGGTTATGTGATCCTGACTCTCTCACCTGCCCATTGCGTATTTTGATTACCATTCAATCTGTAAACATAGGGAGAGGAGGGGGGCCGGGATAAGGGTCTCAGAGCTAATTTGACTTTAGCGTTTCCTAAACCTCTCGTGTCACTTTATAATATAGGCCTTCTTTAGCTTTAAGGGGTTTGCATTCCTGTGCTAGTGTCGGTCTTACTTATTTTCCTGTTTTATATATTTATTAGATGCCTCAAGGTAGCTTTCTCATAGGTTCACATTCTTGTAGTGTGGGAAGCGAACTACTCTTTCGGGTAAATTATTGATTGTGACGTGAAAATATTCCTTTTCCAACTATTTTTTCATTTTTACGACGGTTCCCTCTTACTGTTAGTTAGAAGAAATACTTCTCGCATTTGATTTACTTTCGTCGTGTTGATCAGAAAATGACAGTTATGCATTCATTACTTTGAATCCGCGTGGTAGTATCAACGTGACTTCTATCCATGGAGCAACCTGCGAAAAAAACAATAACACTTGGTTGATGTGGTTCTATTGTTACTATTTTATTTTTTCAAGGGAGCCTACGCATTATTGATTAGAAGGGTGGTAAGTGCTAAGGACAATAGTTCGCTTTCTTTCTGTGCTTGATATCTCTTCTTCGGAACGAATTTTTACTCTTAACAAAGGAAATGTCAATTTACCCGGGTAAATGGATTTATTAAAGGAATGGATCTTATCTTAAATCTTTTCAATAGTACATTTGCGTGCAACTTTTTATACTTCCTCCATCTCACCTCACTAAAGTCCTATGGGAACCTCGGTGTACAACTCCTGCCATTTCTGGTATAGTTTTGATATCAAAGCGACGTTCCGCGCACATACTCAAAGGAAAGCAACAACTAAAGAAAGGAGAGTAGGTGTAATAGAAAACAACGGCTTAAGCACACCAACATACTATTAGAATGTATAACTCGAACCACAAAACTTGCCATTCGAGTCCATTGAATTCATCAGCTTTGCCTATTCTAACGGCAGCTATTGAGTCTCGCCCGCTTCAGCCGAATCCTCATCACGCCCGTTCGGTGACGAGCAGTGCCAGCCTAGCAGCGGTAGTGGCGGTCTGCAACACCCCCAAGAACTGTTTGTCATCGGATTCGTTTACGCAATCCGTTGAACCTTCATCGCGGGAAGCGCTAAAGCAGACCTGCACCACTTCTTTTCTCGATTCCAAATCCCTAGGCGGTGGAGGGACTTTTACGTATCCCACCCGATTAGGAAGGGTGGGTTGTGAAGAGCAGCCGATGAGCGCCGGGCTTTTCTCTGACTCTCAGAATTCCAGCACATATGCTAATGGTGTGTGCTCGTCGCAAGACCGATTAGCAAAATCAAAGCAAAGTCGCCAGCACATTTCTACGTTTGTCGGGGCCCCGGCGTCTAATACCATTGTGACATCACCACAAAACCACATCAACACATTGTGTGGACCGTTCCCTAAAGGAAATTTTACGATCAGTAAATCTGATCATGAACGTGCACCACCTGCTGACAACCGAAAGCTGGCAACTACCTCGACTATGAAAGACTCACGTAATTTAACATCCAATGCGGCACTTAATAACAGACCGCGTGCAGTGAACTACAATGAGCTTATGAAGTCCGAACAAATGGGGTCAAAATCACTTTTACCTGATGGAACCCCCAAGCCATCAGAACCTCAGAGGGGACTTGTTCCGGAGTCTCATTCCGCTAGACATCCCCTTGGCTCTGATCCTGTTGTAGCAAACGGTCCTTCGTTGTCGTCTTTGTTGACAGCGCAATCTATGCCCAACCAAAGGGGGGTACAACAGCCCACTTCAAATAATGTGGAGGGCTCTTCACAGGTGGCCTTTTTAGAGGGGCCCCTACCACCTGAGGTGCGTGCCATGATTGCGGCAGCTTGCGCTTCTTCGGTTCCAATTGTTCGCTACAATGAATTGTCTGCTGGTGTGCCACATGGGATTGGGGAAAATGGTACCCTTACTGTACAGGAGCCCGTTGCGGTTGATGAAGCCGAGCGACAGGCTCGTCGTTTACTGAGCACTAGTCGTCGGCTTAAGGTTTACCGCGAAGAGCTGCTAACAGCGCAGGCGGAGTTCAGTGATGTGCAGGGCCTTGTGCAGAAGGATACCCTTGTGCGGCAGGCCCTGGAAACTGAGCTCGCGGATATTGATAGCAGGATCGCCGCACTGATACAGGAACGTGCCTTGTGCGAAGCTCAATTTCAGCAGCAAGGGAATCTCCTTGCGCGAGATTCAGAAAAGCTTGCCAAGGCACAAGAGCGCGTTTCGGTGCTAAACGAAGCTATTGAGAATATGATGAAGTCAACACAAACGGATCAGATGATGCTGCGTCGACTTGTCCCAAACCTGAATATTGAAAATTATATTTGAGCTCATCGCCTTTTGTCATACGTATCAGTATGACCAGTGCGGGAGGAATGCAAACTCGCAAAGAGTCTCTCTTTTCCCTTCCACATCTTTGTTTAACCCCGAGGCAAAAGGGTGAGCAGGAGCGGAAAGATTGGACCGGATGGAGGTGTGAGGTGGTAATGTTTAAAAAAGGCATTGCTTCTCATATTGTGGTTTGCGATTCTGAAAGTATCTCTTGCTCGAATGTTGTATTTTATGTAAATAAGCTCGCGTATCATGTTGATTAAATTTCCTTGACACACTTTTTATTAGAAGTGCTTGCATAGAATCTCTGTTGTTGCCTCTGTTTATTTTCCATCATCTTTCCCAAAAAAAAAAACAGTTACTGATAACTACGTCGCTTTTTTTTTTCGGCTTTCCACATTCTTATTTTTCTTTCCTCCTGTGAGCTCCTTTCCAATGACCGCTGTGGGATAGGGGTCTATGATTATCATTACTTTTCCCTGCTTGATGAGTGCTCGTCGTCGTTAACAAGATTAATAATTAGAGAGGATTGACGGAAGTCTATTAACCAAGAAACAATGAGTATGCAGAATGACTTCCTAGGTGTGGAAAAGGAGCTTCGCGAAATTACTGCGGATTTCGCTTCCGGTCATATGAACGCTTTTGGCTCCAAGGCAACACAAGATGCTTTTTTCCGCGAACTCAAAATCATCGCAGAGATCGAAACGCAAGTGTTCAACAAAACGTGTTCAATCCTCAAGCAGGGAAACGAGGACGATCACGCGTTGTTGACAAGTATGTTTGCAAGTGCTCAGCCGCCATCCCCACATGCTGTTGATCCCACCAACAAGAGCAACAGCAATCATGTGCCTCCATCGAACGTGCCGACTCCACGGAAAGCGAACGGGAACATGGACGCTGGACCGATCGACCTACAGCATAGGGGGTCCCTCGTGGATGGTATTCAAAAGATGGATGAAACGATCCGCTCGAGGCGTTCGAATGCGTCCCACAGCGTGGATCGATCCTCACAGATGCGCCCCAGCCCCCGCAAATTCGCCCACGGCCACATGTCCACCTCATCTACGGGTGGGGATGGGCCTAACGTTGGCGGTGGCGCGGCATCTGGTTTGCCACCGGCCCCAAACAGCAGTTGGAATGACGGCTCGGGGTTTTCGGACAAATCCTTTGAGAAGGTGACGGAGCGCTTCACCTTCCTGGAATCTGAGTTCTCCACCTTAGGAAACAAACTCCAGGATATTTTGAAGCACGTGACACAGCTTAATACGATGTCACATCAAATGGATGAAGGGCCTATGATGGTCAGCGATGACGATGATGCAAACTGAGGCGGATGGAGATGTAGAAATGCCGCGAGTCTTACGCAAACTGAGTTCTGACGAAGGGGTTGTGGGGGTGGTGAAGACACGTTCACTCCTTTCTTAGCCTCTTATGGGAAATGATATGCAGAGGGACGCTCAAGAAGTCTGTGGAGACGTAAAGTGTTTGCAAACCAATCGTTGACACTGTCACTGTACTTGTCGATTGAAGGTGAGTGGATGGAGGTGTGGAAACTCTTGAATAAGCGAGATCTTTATAATATAACATATGCTGTTCAATTCAAAGCGCAGTAAAAGCTATGAAAGTGAGGCGATTACTGGAAGTATTGTTTTTCGGATTGGGCTTTTTTTATTTTCTTCGCATTGTAAAATATTTATCTTGCAAAGGGCCAGGGTTACTGAACCAGGCGGATAACAGATACGAATGACCCCAATCGAGCAGGTTGAGGTTGCGGTTTTTTCTTGCTTTTTCATGACATTTTCTCGTTGATTTTTCACTTCAAGGATAGGTGATACGTGAGTGATAGTGTTGGTTTTCATATTATTGTTCTTGTTTTCCCCCATTTGTTTTCTGTTTTTCTTTAATTTTGTATTCTAAATGGCCAAGATGCACAAGGGAGTGGCTTCTTAAACTATAAGAAAACAAAGGTTAATATAAGCTAATAATAATAATACAAATAATCATCTGATAACGCTGACTAGGGCAGTGTGAAAGGTAATACATTTTTATATTTATATAGTTATATTAAGTAATACCCGGATAGTTTCGTATGGAATATGACCTCAACTGCTCTTAGTAACGAAACACTCTATCAAATATTTGAGGCCACGCTTTCTTCTGACAAAGCAGTACGTGAATTTGCTGAGAAAACAATCAATGATATCTCCCTCCAGCACAATGACCTCGTCTTGTATCTTATTCGCTTTTGTTGCGAGCCTGTCTCATTACCAACCAACCTTAACGGCACATTAGAGGCCTCACAAGAGGTGCTTAGAAACCAGCAACGGTCGATACTACAAAAGCATAAAAGTATCCAGCTCGCCGCTGCGATTCAGGTTCACAATGCGTTAGGTCGCAGCGACTGGAATCGAAATGCATATTTCACCGAAGAGGTTAAAGACCACGTCCGTCAGCTGATCATATCAATCCAATGTCTGCCTCATGTTTCTGAGCATGTGCGGCGCCAGCTGCTCAAAACCACAAACGCGTTAATAACGTACGAGTTCCCAGATAGATGGCCGCAGCTTGTTCCTCATCTTGAGAGCCTCTTGGGTGACTGGACCATCGCTCTACGCGCTGCTATTGATGCCGGCGGCATGTATGCCCAGGTTTTGTCGGTAATTGTCCAGATGAAGGCTGGACTGGCGATCTTGTACTGCTGCTGTCGCGTGTATGAGGATCCACTCAAGGTTGACGCGGCGGCTGTGAACGCGTTTACAACTCAGCTGGTGCCCTCGCTGGCTAGTTTGGCCGAAATTTTGGAGGGGTTGTGGTCTCAGGAAGTGGTGCGCTGCAGTGCCGCTGATGCACCTCAGCTGGCAAGCGCTGTGGACAGGAGGGCTTTGGGCCCCGACGGCAAGGCCTATGCTGTGGGGAGTGGAGACTTGCTTCTCGAGCAATCATCCCTCCAGGTCGAGCTTTCTCATGCGCTGCGGCTTGTCTTGAAGTGCTTCTGGTCTTTGTGTCAACAACGGTGGCCGAAATGTCTCTGTGACACCGCGCTCTTTCACCGTTTCTGGTACATCTGCTTCAAGAGCCTTACAGAGGTGGCTTATACGCACTACCTGCCGTGGTGTAGAAAGCAACTGCTCCAGAGGCGATATGGAGGTTCTCAGAATAGGGGCAACAGCGGAGTAATTGGAACGTCTTATGAGTGCGATGGCGACCAATTCGAAATCTTCCAGCGGTCATCATTGTGGCGCATGCTGAAATGGGTGGGTAACTTCTCGCACAAGCTTCTTCAGGATTTTATGGTGCCGAAGAGTTGTGAGAAGCGAGCCCGCGCGGTTGCAACTCTCTTCTGTGAAACTTACTTGTGTGACGTTGTACAGGCCGCCCTGCATCTTATACGATGGCACTCCTTGACACCAACAGTTGAAGAGTGCTCTTCGCAGCCGTATTTTGTGTGGCTGGTAAGTTCAAAGGCATATATCATGGCACTCGAAACATTGGGCATGGCGGTGAGCCATCGGCGACTCTATGAAACGATTCTTCATCCTATTGCAGAAGAACTGATGACAGTGCTGCTCTTTCCTCGTTTGGCGTTCTCTGCCGAAGACACTGAGATGTGGACAAATAATCCGGAAGAGTACGTGCGGAAGCAAATGAGCCCCACGGGAGATGTCTATAATTCCAAGGTTGTCGCTGTCACCACTCTCCTTTCGTTGGTTACGTCCAGTAAAAAGCATATAGACGCGGAATTTCTTCCAAAGTTCGCAAACTTCTTGATGAATCAGTTGCAGCTATATGCACCACGTGGGTTGCAGGCATCGGACGAGACAGAATCTGGCCATGAGGACTGGGAAGCTTCCCGTCGGGTAGACGCGGCGCTATTTTGCATCTATCATTTCAAAAAGGCGCTGCTTGGTATGCAGCTTGGGCACGAGCACCTAGAGAACGTACTAAACACCTTTGTGGTGCCTGCGATGCAGGGTCGGCTTGGCTTCTTGCGTGCTCGAGCGGTGCTTGTGCTTAGTGCCTTCTCCGAGAGTATCGAGTGGAGTAGCCCTGAGGCCTATCAGTCTGCCCTTCGCGTAGCGCTTCCGCTGCTGCGTGACCCTGAGACTCCGGTTCGAATACAAGCATGCGTTTGTTTTGCGCGTCTGACATGTCATCCGTATGTCCGCGATGTCGTGACGCCGTGTATTGCCGAACTCATCCAGAATTACTTTCAGATTATGCAATTGATGGATAGCGAATCGGTGGTGCGAACTCTACGTAGGACAATATCGTTTTACAGGGACTCTCTTTCACAGTGGGGTCTAGAGCTGGCTGATATGATTGTGAACCATTTTTCGTCTGTGGCTCAGACGTTTTCGAGTAAATATACCCAGTTGGAGGGCGATGGTGCTGGCCACGGCGCGGAAGGGGGGGGCCATGCCATGTCTGGATACTTGGAGGACGAGGGTCTCGCAGACACACTCATGGCGGCCGATGAGCTTCTTGAAACGCTCATCATCTTGGTCAAGGTTCTTCCTAGTAGCCCATCAACGCGGGAGGGAAAGATAAGTGACGGTGGGGTTGGGGGCACATACCCCTTATCCCCGACCACAGCAGAGATGGATGCGAACGTGTTTGTGCAGATGCAACAGCGGGTCGCGCCGATGCTTTTTTTCATTTTGAGCCACCAGAGCGGAAGCGCTTTTGGCTTCATGGACTCCGCGCTGAATTTACTGACCACGCTGCTGGCGCGCAGCCCGTGTGTGGCGTCGGCAACCTGGCGACTTTTGCCGTGTTTGCACCATCTTATATGCCATGCCGGCACCACCGATTACTTCTCAGAGATGCTCGCCCCTATCGATAACTTTATCTCCGTCTCGCCGCAGCTTTTTTTGACTACCCCTATGAGCGTTTTGTGCGGAGGGGAGGCGCACGTCCCTCGTTTCACGAGCAACAGCAGCTCTGCGCCTGGTGGTGTGGAAGGGGCTCCGCAGGACGTAGGCGTGTGGACCCCGGCCCAGCTGCTGCAGGATATGTGCCGTGTTGTGTTGCTCTGTCCAACCTCGCACAACCGTGAAATATCGACCGTCCCTAAACTCTATGATTCGCTGCTGCAGAACTATTGGTTTTTGGTTTTCTCTTCTTCCCCTTCGACATGGGTTTTCTCCACGCCGTTTAACTGTGGGGAAACAGCGGTTCTTGGAGAGGCCACCACATCGTTGTTTGCGGAGTGCGTTGTGAAACCCATTGCACAACAAGTGCTTTTTATCCTTGACAATCGGCCTAAATTGAATTCTACGCTTCGAGTGCTATTTTCTAATGTGCTCTTTTCCTGCATCCTGTCGGACGTCAACTCCACTCTGACGACTCTGAGTGATTCTGATACCACCTATCCCTTTTTTGAGCAGTATACTCGCCTTGTGGTGAAGGCTTCGGTAGGCTCTGGTGGAGCCCCACTCGGCAATAAAGATGCAACTAAGCGGCGGGTCCAGGGTAGGGCGAGTGATAACAGTGCCGCACAAGGAGTGTGTGCAGATTTGTTGCGTAGTTACGATCGCGCATTGTTCATTTTGGCCTTTTCCCGCTCCATAGGCTTCATGTCTGCCTGTCAAGCTTGTTATGAGCAGCAGCAGCAACAACAACATGGAGGCAACCTGACAGCCCATGCCGCTCTTGAGGCCGCACTTTTTGCGGTTGTGGAGAGCTGTCTTCTTGAAGAGTTTGCGCAGCAGGACCTCGGTGCAAGCGTCCGTGAAATCGCTTTCCACGTGAAGCGTCTGCAGAAGTGTCTTGCTAAGATGCAAAGGAATACAAACAGTCCGCAGTCTCACCCTTCAGCGGCGACTGCCGAAGTCGCTGCCGCGGCCGTTGCTTATGGTGTTGCTTTTCTGAAATCTCACCATCTTTCTCCGGGAAAAGAGGGCACCGTTGGTAGTGCTGGGGATGACGAAGACGGATGGGTAGACGACGAGGACGAGAGCAGTGGTGAAGGTAGCTCCTCTACTGCCTCAGATGATATGGAGTATGAAGGAAGTGAGGAAATGTTAGACGATGATGACTTTGGTGATGATAATAACCAAGACTCCGCCGCTTTACACACACTATGTGCACAGGCCGAAAATGCGCGTCAGGGGGCTCACAATAGATCCATAGCTGAATGTCCGGAAGATGCCCCGATCGATCAGTTTGCGGATGACACTGGCGGCGACGACGATGAGTTTGACAACTTGCTCGATGAAGACGATTTTGAAAGTCCTGTGGATGGGGTGAACCCATGGGGGGTGTTGATGGATAGCATCGTCACTAATGATGGGTTCTTCCCTCAAACAAACGGACAAACTTTGAGGAGTTCAATTGCCCAGCACAATTCAAATAATATTTTCTCTGAGGTCAGAGCGGCTGTGGATCTTCTATTTTCGCTGCGCGCCCACTCAGCGGAACTTGTCCAGAGGTAAATTTGGGGTTTCTTGTGAGGCTGCGATTTTAGTCATTACCTTTCGCACCACATTTGGGTTATTAGCTATATATTCACATATGCTATACCCTTTATTAACGTGTGGTAGTGAAGTAGGTGTGTTTGTAGAGGGGGAGGGACGTTAGCCTAATGATTTGATTTTTTACTCATGATGTTTAAACGTGTAATAGTGCCCTTTCCATAGTCTTACGTCTTTTCATAATTTTTCTCGAGTTAACTGGGCAAAACAATCTTTTTCATCGCCTTAGGTTCATGAGCAACATTTATGCATCCATGCATGATATAATCTTTTAGGCTTGATGATTTTCAAGTGTGAGTCTCCATTTCTTTTTTTCTTTTACTTGTTTAGGACGTTTTCTCTCTATTCTTGACGTTCCATACTGCAGTCACTTTTGTAGGATTTTCTTTTCGGCTTGTGTCTATTATTGCGGTTGTTGGTGCTTCCTAATACAGCGCGTTGAGATCTTTTCAGCGATTTCTCATTTGAGTGTTTTAGGGAAAGCCACCTTCGCAAGTGTATTACATCAGAAGTTGCTAAGGAGGGGGAGAAAAGGGAATCAGTGTGTAAGCCAAAAAGAGGCATTATTGTGGCGAAGCTGAGCTCCTAAAGTGGTTGAAGATAGATATTTACTTCTTATATACAAAAGATATTGAGCTTATCGATTGTTAGTTAAAAGTAAAATAGCTTTTTTAGGTGGGAGCATTATGCATTGGCGTAGGTATTTCTTTGTCGGCGTGGCCGTGCTCTTCCTTCTATCGTTCACCGGTATCATGCTCTCTGAGGCCTTTATCCCCGTTGTGAATAATTCTGCGGAACTTGGTTTGGTTTTGCTTCTGGTGTTTACATTTTTGTGGATCCAGATGGCAATCGGCTTTGCGGCTAGCGTGCTTAAAGACCCAGGCCCTGTTCCACCCTGGATGCAGCTTGAGACCATTGAGGCTTTTGTCGAGCAGGAAGTGCAGAGCATACTAGACCAGCGCATCGACGATCCACACGCACAGGGTGGCTCTCAGAAGCCGCAAAATTCGGTGATCCGTGTTGTGGGCACATCTACTCTTCCTGTTCAAAAGAAGTTGTCCATCGCCAATTCTTCCGCGCCTGAGGGAGAGCGGACCGAGGTGGGCAACAACGTTGGGGAAGCAGTCGATCACGCGGTTAGGGCTAATTCAATGATGTTCACTGCACAGACGCAACGCATGCAGCAGGATAACCGTCATGGTGCGGGGTTTACTCGCATGGCAGGCCTTAGCACAAATGACAATGATAGGAGTGGTGGGAGCGGCGGTGGTTTTGACTTGTTTGCTGAGGACGATCAGCTGTTAGAAGATCAGAGGAGTGGCACTGTGACGTCGAAGTATGAACATTCCACGCACCGCCGCCGTCGGAGGCTTCAACATGATCTGCGTGTGTTGACATTTTCGCGGGTTGCCCGCAACGCCTTGGATGCACTGCGTAGTGACCCTGAGATGAAAGCGCGAGAAATGAGCCTCTTACTCAACTATTCCTTCCCGTGCAAGATTTGCTCCGTGTACCAGATCATGGGCACGCAACACTGCGATAGTTGCAAACGCTGTATTAGCCACAAAGATATTCACTTTAGATGGATTGGGCAGTGCGTGGGCTCGGGTAACCATAAATACTTTGTGCTTTTTCTACTTTATTTAGCTCTGCTGTTGATGGTGACATGCGTTATCACCTTCTATGCTGTGGGCAAAGGTTACACGAGCTTTGTAGTTGACGATGAGCTGCAGGTTCTTTTTCTGTTCTGTACGCTTTTTGCCGCCACGTACGCCACTGCCATCCCGATTTTCCTTCGAGCGCACCTGCATGCTGTTGGGTGCGGTGATAGCACGCTGAGCCGGATTCGCCGTGCGAACCGTGAGAGCGTGGAGCGCTTCGCGCGCCGGATCACTCCGAATGGGCACTACCGCCCGCTGTTTGAGGACGAACCGGAGACCCCTCCAGGCGCGTTTACCTGGGATCGCCTCCGAACCGCGGTCTTTGGGATCGGCCCGTGGTGGGAATGGTTTCTGCCGAGCCTCTCCCCGAAACAGGCGTCGGAGGAGGAGCGGGAGAGCCTCTTTTGGGTGGCGCTCGGCGAAACGGTGGAGCAGCAGCTGCGCTCCGTCGCGGAGGCCTTTCGGCATCGGAACGCTGGTAATGGCAAGGAGGAAATTTCGATTGTTGGTGCCCCGCCGGGGCTGCACGACGAGTCGGTAGTTCCAGCCGAAATGGATTCCACTCATGTAGCGACTGCTGGGGATCCTCCGGAGACGCCGAAAATGAAGGAAGCAGTTGTTGATGTCGGGAGCACGATGGCTACGGATGGAGTCAGTGCTGATAGTGGTCGTCGGGTTCCTTTTTTCCGAAAGGCTTTTCCTACTCTTTCTCAATTTTCTGGCAGTAATGCACGAGATGCTATTGTTCAGCCTTCGCCGCCACTAGACTCGGTGAATTCGATCTGCTCGGACGCCGTGTGTACGGATAAACCGCCACCAAGGACCGATTCTGTTTCTCTGCAATCCGCCATCGTCGATTCTGAGCGAAACCGAAACACTAATGGTGCATAGTGACTTGACGTTGGAAAGCTTTGTGGTACAATATCGTTTATTTGCGTGTTGAAGTTTTTTTTTTCAGCCCTGTCTTTAACCACAATTACTGCTGTTACATGACCATGAATGTGTACAAGGTGTGTAGACCTGAAATGCGGTCCGAAGATGTTTTGATAAAAGAAGGCTTCCGACAAAGAGTGAATCAATAATTAAATAAGAATTCGACATGAAGGAAAAAGGATAGAGGTTTAAAGGGGATAGAATGATGACAAAGTAGACTCCAGTTGTCTACTTGCTTTCAATTTTTCAATTTCCTGTTACTCTGCCTATGCTTGCCGTGGTTGATGCCAGCAGCAATCGCCAAAATCTACCAAGATACTTGCTTGTTGATTTTATCTTTTCACATGCCTAATGACATAATTGGCAAATAGTTCCTGAAGTTTCCAAATGTGTTTTGTGACGAAATCATTATTGCATTTTTTTTGTTGCTGCAACTACTTATATATATCGAATCGATTCAATTCTGTGCAACAACTATCGAATTGCCTCTTTGAAAGTTCATTGATTATGCTATTACGCAAGATGTGAGGTCTTGAAGATAGGATATCACATTTTAAAATAGTAGCATTGAAATTAATATATTGCCTCACGTGTCTTCCTTTACAAGCATCAGTATCTTTTCTTCACCATCTTCCTTTTTTGTGTGCACTAGTGTCAAGAATAACGAAGCAGCAACTAAAAGTCCTGTCCTTTATAAAGTGATATCGATTCCTCTCATTAATTACATCATTATCTCATCAAAGGTTGTTGAAAAGAAGTTTTGTATCCTTTTGCAAGCTAAATTGATCCTTTCATTGGATCCTTGTTCTGTATCTTTTAACTCATTAGGCACGCCACACTATTGTTACTGTTATTAACGAGGATGTCGGTTAATCCTGTCGTCAAAGTGTTCCTTACGCAGCCGATACAAAATGTTTCTGCGTCTACCCTCTCTTCTCTAGTGTATGAGTTAAAGAGCGACCTGCTTAAGTTATCGACGAGCGGCGATACCGCTGCCAACGATGGCATTCTCCACGACGTCCTACAACGGCTTGTTAGCATCGCGAATAATGGTACCAAAAATACAACAATACGGTCCATGGTACTTGAGTGTTTGTACTGGATTTCCCATCACGCAAGCGATGCCGTCCGTCAGGGCCCCTTATTTGATAGTGTTTTGCAGCTCAACGAATCTTTTGAGGCCATGCTTGAGCAGGAGGGGGATACGCTAGAGCTTCAGTATCTCATGCTAAGCGTGCTGCTTTTACGCGTTTCAGGGTACGGGCGCCTGAAGGTTGGGGACCTCCTCGAGGACCTCTACCGCGGCGATGCCCGGCGTGTGGTGAGCCTTCTCCTTAAGTTGCTGGAAGACCCTAGCTACGAGTGGCCCTTATGCGAGGCCGCCGCGCGGTGGATGTTCGAGCTGACAACGCCCGCCTGCTACTTTGCTGCGGAGACCAAAACAGACCGCGTGATCGATGTGTCGGTGTTTCAGGGAAAACTATCCGTAGTTCTGGAGCATGGGATGACGAGCGGCGCGTTTGCCGCGATGTTCGCGGGGATTGTCGAGCTGTGGCGTCGGTCCTGGGGGGAGAACGCTGTCCTCGGTGCCCTCAGCTCCTGCAACACCATCACTGGTGGGAGCGTGTTCACTTCGAACCAGCTCACCAAGCTGGTGCAGTGGGCCACCTTGCTACACTTCGTCTCCGCCAGCATTGAGAATCTCTCCGCGTACTGCAATCGGTCTCAGTTCGTGAAGAGTCTGCAGCGGAGTTTTTTTCTCGAGTCGCAGGCCTTCCTGGCGGACGTAGCGATTCCTTTCATCATGGCGGCCATTCAGGCATGGTCGCACGGCGTTGGAAGTAGGACCGACGACTTGGGAAGTTGTGAGCATCCCAAAGCCGATCCCATGCTGCGGGCCGCTATCGAGGTGTTGCAGTTTCTGCGGTTTGCTTTATACAAGGCACCAGCTACCCCACCTCCAAGCGATGCGCTTCTCCACGCGTTGAAAAGCCTCGCGCAGCATGTGGTCCAGCGTGAGTCGACGCTTAGCAGGGACGACACCGGAATGGCAGTAATCCTTTTGGCGGTGGAGTTGCTCTGTAATATCAACGCCAAACGGCAGCGGGCGCTGAGCAATGTTTTTGAGACGCTCCTGAGAGTCATTGCCTCTGATGAATCGCCCGCTTGCTACGTTGTGGGCTTGCCATTTGCGAACATCTTCATCGCGCACTTCACAGGCGAGACCTCGTCTTATGTCGAAACCCAGAACGAGTCTGTGGAGCTTGTCCATCACATGTTTTCGAAGCGCAAAGAGGAAAATGATGAGTTAGGAGAGGCTGCGATCGCTTTGGAAGAACAGCTTGACGTTGTCCAAGAGGCGATTATGCAGTGGACACTTGGTCAGGCCTTGGATGAATTCATGTGCATGTTGTCAGCGCAACCTCTAATATCCGGAGGCGATCTCATTGGTACTGGTACAATTAAATCATATCCCGTACCGGAAGGTACTCTTTCTAGACATTTGCCTAGTGGTAGACGCCATGACAGCAGAAAGCCTAACAGGGCGAAGCATCCAGCGAAGTATTGCTGTCAGATGACAGGGAAGTTGATGCGGGAGCCGGTGACGTTGAGAAGTGGGCATCACTTTGAGTTTGATGCGTTAAACAAGGTGATCAGCGAGGTTGGCCATGTGAATCCCTTAACAGGGGAAATAATCGAGGAGGAAGTGGAGGTTAACGAGGCACTCCAGCAGGAGATTAGCGCATACTGTGTGAAGCGTGCAGCCCGTTTAGAGTAGCTGTACAGGGTGTTCAAAAAAGTGTGTGAATGTAAATACAAATGCTTGCACCTGCACCAATAAAACGTTAATTGCTTGAGAAAGAATAAAATTATAGGTGTATGTGATTATCAATAACTTACATTGAAATGTTTTAGAAACAACAAGCGAGTGGAAATCTCAACGGAAGTGTCGAGAAAGTAGAGTAGTCGAAGCTGATTATATATGAATATCCTTTTCACCATGGACTCTGTTGAGACTTATTCTTTCTAATACTACATGTTCTCTTTGCCTCCCCAAAAGAGCACGTGCGTAAAGGGGCTAACTATTTACAAATTTAGTTTTGTATCACACCAGTCGAAACCCTAGTCCTAATATAGAATATACCTATATATTTTGCGAGAAGCCATCTTAACGAGCATCAAATGTATTTTAATGTTTTTCTTTTTTTTTCATTACAAAAGTCGTTTCTATTTGTACCTTTTAAACCTTGACTGCGTGCCGTTTTTACAGATTTTGTATATCCTTCTCCATATTCATCTGTGTTTATTCCTCTTCCCCCTTTACTCATCATTACCATCCTACTTTCTTTTTTTTAAATCCTGGCGTGCTTCAGAATTTTGTAAAAATTACGCAAGCAGAAGGTTCAATTTGAAATTCCATTTCCTTTCTGAGGTCCTACTTAACTTTAAGGAGTAAAAAAATATATTATCAAGTACTATTTATCAAACAAATAATTTGAAAAATTGCTCGTTGCACCTATACCCGCCGAACAGACTATCATCTCCAAGATGTTGAAGCAGCTTAGGTGTTCTACGCCCCCAGGTCGTAGTCGCTCTTTCCGATTTTCAATTATTGCTCTGATGCTTGGGGTTATTTTAGCCGCCACGATGTCTCATGCTCTGAATGACGTTTACGTCTTAACGCCCAAACAACAACTCCGTGCGTCATCAGGTATCATCACCCATCATTCCCTTAACCCACCGTTCCTCCAGAATTATTATGGTGAAAGTGAGCTCACTTTCTGGAAGTTTTCGGGCTCTACAGTCATCACCGATTCCTACATCCGCCTGACCACCCACAACGCGGGTGAAGTCGGGCATTTGTGGAACAAGGAGCCGGTCGACATGGATGCGTTTGAGATCGTCCTTGGGTTTCGTGTGTTTTCGTCTGACGAAAGGAGACGTTTCGCTGATGGCTTTGCGCTTTGGATCACCAAAGACGAACCGGGGAGTGGTGGACCTATTCTAGGCCATCCCATGTCCTTCGTTGGTGTCGGTATTCTCTTTGACGATTTTGATAACGACGGGAGGAGGGATAACCCTACAGTTGGTGTGCTGTACAATGAAGACGAAAGGGACAGGAATCGGCGGTACTCTCCGGATCGAGACTTCCAGGGCGAGTACAAGGCCGCCTGCAACTTCGATTACACTAAACTATCTAGCTCAGATTTTGCCACCGCACGAATACGTTACAACAAGGGAAGTTTGCAGGTGTTCCTCTCTGTCAATGACGAAAAAGATGAACATTTGTGTGCGAATCTAAACAACATCAAACTGAGCACCTCAAAGGATCATTATTCATTGGGTCTGACTGCACAAACAGGAAGTTTAAGTTGCAATCATGATATTGTATTTTTGCATGTCAGTCCTCTTTCAGGCACTGAGTACAGTACCGATATTCACAAAGCATTCGGTCGAAATGACAGAGTTCCAAGATGGCATCAAGACGGAAATCCGCGGGTGCTACCAACAAATCCACCGCAACCACAGCGGCAGCCCCCTCAACAACAGCCCCCTCAACAACAGCCCCCTCAACAACAGCCCCCTCAACAACAGCCTCCTCAATACCAACAGCCCCCTCAGCAGCAGCAGCAGCCTCCTCAATACCAACAGCCCCCTCAGCAACAGCAGCAAGTGAACCCGACTAGTACTAAACAGGGTGATCCAGTCAACCCCAATGCAGAGCGTCTGAAAGAACTCGAGCGCCAGTTGGAAGAGCTCCGTCGTGCTAACGCTGCGCATTAACATTGGGTGGAGTATGATGTCTGAAATAATTCTTCATTTTTTGTAATAGGACAACTTTGAGGATTGTTTTCATGACCGATTTGTGCGGTTATATGTGCGCTCAATAGCTATTATTGAGCAAAGGATGACGGAAATTATTTGTCTGTATAAAAACCAGCCCGACTACATGTACACAGTAAATTTTTAAAAAATTACTATTTTCACACATAGGCACACTGACAGCAAAAGGAATGAAGAAGATATTAGTAATCAATCAAACGGTATCAGGAAGCGAGTGTTATGATCATTATTAGTGTGGGCAGAAGTGAACAAATTGTTTAGAATATGTATCTCCCTTTGTGTCATAATCGTGTCCATATGTGTGATTCTAAACGAAGTGCATGTAAGCACAAACTATATTTTATTGAGGTGAAGATGCGACTGACATCTCTATGGGGGAGTGAGGGCGAAGAATTTAAGCAACTAGTAGCAGAAGGATCGACGAATTATATTCTTTTTCTTCTTATGAATGGTGATTAGCCATGGGGAGAGATGCAAGCTAAGAGTCATACTTATTTGAACTATCCAATAGCGTCACCTGCAGCGCAAGGGTTTATGTTGTGTCTCTGATTGAAGAAGTAAAAAAAAAAGTAAAGTTGGCTGCATGGAAATGACGATGACCTTCAAGGCAGAGCAATGAAGTTTTAAAGGGAAAATAGTGGTGTTTTTTTCTCCTATCGTTATATTGTCTTAGAATGCTTGTAATGCAGTTCAACTTAATCAATCTTCTGTTTACAATGATTGGATAACTTCTTATGCCCTTTCATTCTTCATTTTATTTCTTTATGCGATTGTTTTCTTTCTTTACTGCATACTCGCCCATCGTTTACACTATACAAGCGTGTGAGAGCGGTGCATCGTTATCTTTCTTCTCATCTCTTCACGAACGATATTAAAAGTAAGCGAGGACTCAATTAGGCGTAAGTGAATCAACCCGAGAGAAGCGACTAAGCGACAGGTACCTCGTAAAAACGATTTCATGGCTCGTGGGTACAGTGTTAATCGCAGCAGAAGCAAAAGGCCTACATTACGCCTTAAGCGAGAGCGCTCCGTCTCCATTCAGAAGCTACGACACGAGCTGCAACAACGTGGTGATTCGAAAGCCGATGGGCAGTCTAGCAAGCAACAGGAAGGGGCGCGCGCCGAAATCGCGGATATGAGCGATAGGCAAGAAAAGGAGAAGCCCTCTACCGGTCTCACATCACGCGGCCAGACTCCTCGCGTCCTCAAACGTCGGAAAGTGGAAGGAGGGGAGGATGCGGATCGCCTGCAGCGGCTGCGCTCCGCATCGGCCGCGTCTTCACATCTTCGGGCGCGCCTTGCCGTTTTGGAGGCGGATTTGGAGGAAGATATGGAGGCGAGTGAGGACGAAAGGGAAACCGTTTACAAGGCGGAAGTTATGGCCAAGTACAAGGCTGCAGGCCAGGTTGTGGACGAGGTCCTTGACGTCGTCTCTCAGGCGTGTGTGGTGGGTGCTAATGTCAAGGAGCTGTGCGACCTAGGCGACGCGGAGATCCTCGCCCGCCTCAAGGGGCTCTTTACGAAGTCGAAGGATGAACAGGGGAAGAAAATCGCCAAGGGTATTTCCTACCCAACCAATATATCCATAGATGATGTCTTGTGCAATTACTCGCCATTTCGCGCCGAAGAGGCCGCTCTGTTGCGTGGTGCGCAGGTTGTGAAGATCCACCTTGGTTGCCATATTGACGGCTATCCTGCCAGTGCGGCCCGGACAGTTGTGGTGCCCTATGACCGCGAGGCCTCCGCCCAATTCCTCAACGAAGAGGAAGGGGAAAAAACCAAAAAGGCTGTCAAGTCGCGCACCAAAAACGGTGAGGCAACGGACCATGCTCAGGAAAGCCGTGGGCTGCTCAATCATGCCGCAAGCCAGGCTATTGAGGCCGCCCGTGTGGCGCTTCTCGGTCTCACCCATCTTCTCCGCCCGGATGCCCTCAACGCCGACCTCACCGATTTCATAGCGAGCGTCGGTGGGCACTACGGCGTCGAGGCCGTGGAGGGGGTTCTGTCGAACCGAACGAAGCGCTGGGTGCTGGATGGCATGGACTGCATCATCAACCGACGCATTGTTTCGACCACCCCACAGCAGGACGTGGCGGACTGTCGAGTTCAGCCCTACCAGGTGTGGACCTTGGATGTCGCCTTCACCAATAACAACACCTACCGCCTGACGCCAACTCTCGATGCGCCGTCGATCTTCCGTCGGACCCCCGAAGACTTCCTGTGCGATGCCCATGTGAAGCATGCCAATCATGTTTTGCAAGAAATTAACAATCATCACTTTTGCTTCCCCTTCCACTTCAAATCCATGGCGGAGCCTTTGAAGGCAAAAATGGGGATCAACGTGTTGGTCCGGCATGGTGCCGTCGACCCACTCCCGTGCTTGCGGGCGAAAGGGGGGCGCTGCATCACGGCGCGCTTTTCCGCGACGGTTGCGGTGACGAAAAAGCGAATAACGGTGCTGTGTGGATTGCCGCCGGCGCAATCACCTCTTTTGAGTGATCCGGCGCTGCGCCCGAAGGAGATGACAGCCGCGATGGCAAGGATTCTTTCGTCGTCGATGGTGCTTGCGCACGGTTTGGGCGAGGCTAATAATAAAGGTGATAATGTAGCAGAGAGTGAGGTGTGATGTGGGAAAAGAACAGGTAAAAAAGGAAGCGGGGCGCATGGTAGTTCCTCCTCTGTTTGTGTGTGTCCCACACCGCGACCGTCTTTAGATCAAAGGGAAATTCTAAGAGCAAACCCCTTTGAAATGGCGACGAGGGAGATTTCGACCGTCGATGAGAGCTGGATAATCGGACATTAGTTAATGCATAACTACGTTTAAGTTTTTTCCCTTTAAATGGGATATATTACTAACTTCATGACAGTGCGTGCATACTTAATAAACGCACTTTCGCATCGTCTTCGACTTGCTCATTTTTCGAAATGCCCGTATATCCATATTTTTTTTTGTATTTATCCTCTTTAATTTCGAGTTCAGTATTTTTTCTTTTTTTCAATTACACATATAGCGCTTATTATTTGCACCGTGCTTAAATAAGACAACATTACTTATTCGTTTCCTTAATTTCTAAGGGGGTCAAAGCAGCACTTTTGCCTGTTTAAAAGTGACAAGAGAGACACAATTCAAAGGGCAAGGTAAAACGGTGCTGAAAGGTTCTTGTTGTCCGTTGCTGTCAATAGCCCCCCTGCCCCCATTACACCACTATTTGTGCCGAAATCTTGCCAAATCTTTTTTCAGGTTTTAAAGGTACATTATTTCAGGGGCATTTTTTCTTTACAAACTTGAAAACCTCAAAGAAAACAGCCAATTATAGATTCACAGACATTTTCAACACTCTTTCATACAAAAGGGGTGCATCCATTGTTCCTCTTTCCGCATTAAAATTAGTATATATATATATATATATACATATATATTAATTTCATAGAAATCAAAAAACAAAACTAAGGCTTCCATCTCCAGGCATTTTCCTGTTCCATTTGATACATACGTAGTATAAACTTTGTGAATGAGTGTAGATTTTGAAGGGAAAACAAAGTCAAATATACAAATGTCATTGCGGATGACTTCGTCCTCTCGGTCTGGAAATGGAGCCAGCAGGGAGCGTGCTACGAATGTCGATCACCGCAGCACCGATGATGCCAATGCTAAGAACAGGGAGTACCAAGGCATGACCATGCTAGCCGAGACGATTGAAGGCCAGCACTGGGAACAGCAACCTGATGCCATGCCTCCCATGGGCGCGACTACTTTTCAGTCGCACATCGCCGAAATGGCCCCCACGACGGGTGATTACCCTGCCACACAACCGGAGCTTCCATTCGGTTCCATGACGTCAGACTGCGTGGCAGGTGTTAACTCCAACAACCGACGTTCTGCTCAGCAGCAGCAGCATCAGAAGCAGCGGGCATCGTGGCTAAATCCCCACTCAATGAATTCTACAATTACACAATCCATGCAGGATGGCGGGATTACCGCCGGAGGAGCCACCAACGCCTCTTGCTCTCGTCCCTCTGTTGCTGCTGCTGCACAACACCGGTACCTCAACTTTCAAAATCCAGCTGCCACCAATGAGAGCATGCCATCCTCAGCGTACTCTGCATTCACGCCACCGGTATACGGACCCTCCGTAGCCACCAAGTACTCACAGTTTGTTGATATCACCACAAACACCGGCTACATGACGCCCTTTGAATTACTTGAGCGCACTACTTTTTTACCGGGGCCCGCATCCGCACCCGTTGACGCGTTGGGTGGTAGGGTGTCCAAAGAGGGAGGCTACACCACCAGCCTCGACCGAATTAGAACCAACGGGAGTTTAGAGGAGCCTCCCGCGGTTGCTATTTCACATAACAGCATTGCTGGTGCGAGTACGCAATCGGCGTGTTGTTATCCGAGCTCGCAGCAGCTGCTGTCGGCCTTATCGTCCGCCCCACGGGTGGCGCTGTCGCCGCAGCCAAGCACGCAATTCCGTCAGACCCGACAGGAGCGATCCAATCCCGGTAGCGGGGTACCCAGGAACAACCGGGAGGAGCCCGTGGTTGTTGAAGAGAAGGATCCTCGCTTTTCGACGCAGACGGAAGCGCCGTCGACCCGCTCGCTATCGCCGCATCCCGCACCCAAGCGTCGAGGCGCGGGCGCGGCGATTGGGGAAACGGCGCCCGGCCTCGCCCTGGATGGCACCCCTTTACACCAAACCACCAAGCTTCGCGCCGGTTCCCACCAGCAACACACGAACGCCTCGATGCTCTCTTCCTTTATGGGCATGACCGCGTCCACGAAGGCAGTGAGCACGCCCATGGCTCGTGATGCGCACGGCGTGCATCACTCCCATCCTGAAGGGGATGACGACGATGTCAAAGCGTGTTTGGATTCGAAGCTCGTAACCCCGCAGGCACGGGGGCCACACACCTTACAGGATGACAACAACGCCAGCGCCGGCGCGGCACCCACCCCGACGCCAGTTCGAACTCTTCTCACGGAGTCGAACATCAATGCAGGTAACCCTGAACTCACCAAGAAGCCGGCGACCACTTCCTCGACTCAGATTAAAGGGGTTATGCAAAAGCTGCTTCACCATATCCAAATGAAAAAAACGTTTGAGCACGATTCGGCGACCAATCCGACATATGCCCCAGAAGCATTTCCACAAGGGGGGGAGGGAGCGTCATCGTTCACACTCACCAACTTTACTTCTACTTGTTCGGTATCAAACCTTGAGATTGGGAATGGCAACAAACCAAGCGACTTCGCGACGAGCTTTCACACTGAATCAAGCCTTGCCTCCATCATGCAGCTCAACCGACAGGGGTCGCAGCGCGGGGGGTCCCGTCAAGGCAAGGAAGGTCGGCAGCCGCCCAGGCAGAAGCATCAGCGCGAAAAGAAAGCGGCGCAGCCTAATGCCCCTCCTTTTGCCTCCTCTCTGGCCCAGCAGGAGGGCACCCCGACGAACGAAACCCCCGACCACGAAACGGCCCTCCCCGAGGGGTCGGATAAATGCGAGGACGGCAAGAACACCAAAGGGGGGGCGGCGGACGCGAACCACAACCCGGTCGTCAGTCGATCCCTTCAGCCATCCTTGATGGCCTCGATCGGCACGCCGGCGTTGCCGCGGACGACGGGCGTAGGCGGGGAGCCGCCTCTCGCCCCTTCCCGCCTCTCCTCCCCGCTCCCGTCGGAGCTTCCGCCGCCCGCATCCGCGTTTGCGGGGAAGTCCCACTCGCCGAGGACCCCTTCCCAGCCTTCCGCGACGGCGGCGCGGAAGGTCTACTCCGTCCTCCTGGAAGGCCACATGGGGCAGCGGTCCGCCGCCCTCTCGGTTGTTCCCTTTGAGCGGGATGTCTGCGTCCTCTTCGAGGGCGACCGCGGGGTGGATATGGGATGCGTCGTCAAGTGTGAGGAGGTGGACGAGAAGCTTAGCAACGCCAGGGAGTTCGACCTCAGGGTTGGGAATGAGAAACACAAGAAGAAGCACGTCCCACCCCTCGTGCTTCGCCTCGCGACTGAGGAGGAGCAGGACGACTGGCTGCACACCCAGGTGGAAGAGGCGCAGCAGGCGATTCAGCCCTGCCGCGAGGCCGTCGAGAACCTCGGCCTCCCGCTCACGATTGTCAACGCGGTGTACCAATTCAATCGAGAAAAACTGACGTTTTACTACGAAAGCGACGTGCGTGTGGACTTTAGGCAGCTTTTGCAGATGATGTTCGCAAGGTTTTACTGCCGCATCTGGATGGAGCGAGCCACACCACTGCCTGCCGCCGTCGCGGTCGGAGACGGTGCCGGCGATGATAAGCGGGTCACCAGTTGCCACAGCTAACTTTGTCAGAGTTTCCTTTCTTTTTTTTTTTACTTCTTCCCAATATTATGTTATAGAAAGTTCAATGTATATTGTTTTCCCTATTAGATTTATTGGTGCTTTCGTGTCATTATATTTTATTTCTATTTAAACATAGATGGGGCTCATGGCAATAGGTTTGTTTTGCTTTATTTCCTACAGTGCTTATTTACTTTATCCCCTTTTTGTTTCACGAACATCATTCTTCTTCTGTTCACTTTCGCGGACGGAACTGGGGGAGGGAAGGACGACTTTTCAATCGTGGAGGTTCATCTCAGCGATTTGACCTGCTAATAGTAATTCGTTTTCCCTTTTTACTTACAAAGCCTTTACAATGTTTGCCTTGAAGACTTCGCGCTTTCACGCATGCCATTCCCGTTATTACTCAATGAGGAGGAGAAGAGAACGTGGTGGTGTGGGGACAATCTTCTTGCGGCATCTTGGCTTAAATATTTTGCAACATTTTTAAAAAATTTTTTCATATGTAGCTTTCTAACTACCTTTGATGATAATGCATAGACTAAAACACTTTGTGAACATATTTTGCTTCGTAAAACTACTCTTATGAGTCTTTTAGCGCTATTTCATAGATGCGTTTAAATGAAGGGATAAGTTATGGAAAGACTCGGAAAACTATGTGAAAATTTTGCAACAAACACCGAAGACACAATTTCCTTTAGTGTAAAATGCGATGAAGGAACAAGGTCTAGTAAATGCAGAGCAGGTGGTCACATGCACTAATCACAACAGAGACCATCTGGGGCTTATTTATCATAAATTGTCCGATATCACACACATAAACACGTTTTGCGCATGGCTTCATCTTGTATGGCTAAGCGAAATGATAATAGTGCAATGTAGCTCTCCATGCCTCCTCTTTTATTTTTTTTTTCCACCACTTTTGGTGATTCTGAGTTTTGAGTCTCCCTCTCGAGGCGATCGCTTCACTTTGCTAGAGCTCCACAACAATCTTTCCAATGTTTTTCCGTGCATACATGTGGTCAATAGCATCATACACCTTCTCAATGCCTTTGAATTCTGTCGAGTCGACAAAGCTCTTAATGACGCCTTGCTCGTAAAGCCCACACAACTCGTTAAAGCCCCTGGTTATGTGTTTGGCAAAATGCGGGAGGAAAAAGGTATGCAGCGTGGCACTGTGTGACAGCAATGCAAGGCTCAAGACGTTTGATTTTCGCGGTGCATAGGATTCATTTTCGCCTGTGTAATTTACGGTGCTACCGATGGAAAGGATGCGACCTCGAAATGCCATGGCTTGGACGACCGCATCCAGCACGTCGCCACCTACCGATTCGTACGCGATGTTGGCGCCGAGCGGATACACTCGATGCACGGCGTCTGCAATGCCGCGTTCCGCCCTGTAGTTGATCACGGCGTCGCATTTCAACGACGAAGTGAGGAACTCCGCCTTACGCGGCGAAGAGCACATCCCGACGACGGTGCACCCGTACAGGTTTTTGAGGAGTTGAACCGCGAACTGCCCCGTGCCGCCTGAGGCGGCCGTTACCACGGCGCGCTCACCTTTTTGAGGTTTCAAGACGTCCCGGAGCGCGATCAACGCGGTCGCCCCGCTCAGGCTCAACGGCAGATATCCGACCTTCAGTGATGGCGCCTTTCGTGCATGCCGGGAGGGGACGACCTGGTATTCTGAAAATGCGCCATAGCTTTGCGTGGCCACCGCGTCGCCTGGAGCGATGCCTTTGACATTCTCCCCCGCCGCGACGACCTCGCCGAGCGCCTCAAGGCCGCAATCAAACGGGGGAATCACGCCTGGTTGGTATACGCCCGCCGTGAAGTTAACGTCGCTCGCATTGATGCCCACAAACACATTCCGCACGAGCAGCTCCGTTCCCTTGAGTTCGTTGGGCACCACGGCCTCCACAATGGAAGTGGCTTCTCGAAAGTTCTTGGAGAGCCTGTTGGCAACAATTTTTTTGAACTTACGTCCTGCTAACATTGGTATGCTTGATTTACTATGATGCGACTTTTCTATGGGGTACCTTACGCGTTCTAGGACAAACGGGGGAAAAGAGGGGACTCATTCGATAGGACTGGATATAATCAATAGAAGAGAGATGTGGGTGCAGAATGAGTAAGGGTATGAGTAAAGCATTTTGGCCTTTGAGTAAGCCCGATCGTTTTAGTTCGCGTTGAGGATAGTGACTATTCGTTAACTTTCTTCACTTATGCTTTCGCTAGCTAAATATGTATGCAGTATTTCCCCCTTTTTGGTGTTAAAATATGGAAACATCTCATTCAAATTCAGCCAAATATTCCGTGCAGAAGGAGGGAGACGTCTTAGTTTGGGGATGGGGGTTCACAGTATCGTTGCCCGGTGGGGTGTTTGACTCGACCGGTCTCTCGCGAACGCGTGCCAGGAGCTGCCGTACACGCTCTGCAGCCTCAGCGTGCGAGCCTCCCAATTGTGCCCATTCAGCAAGTGCGCTTTTTACATCCGCCAAGGAGCTGTGCTCCGGTTCCTGCTGGTCATCAAGAGCTTCAAGCGCCTCAAGAAGCACATCATTCAGCTCCGCCTCGGAAGTACTTTCCTCTTTTGCAATCGCATCTCGCCACCGGGTAAAAATTTCTTCTTGGTCCTCGGGATCGTCGTTACGGGAGGTCTCATAGGACCTCTGGCTTCTCTCGAATGCTGGCACCGCCACTTCACGTAATAGACTGAGGTAAAGGGCGTTTGCTTCGTCATTTCCTGGAGTCTCAAACACCTCCCTAAGAAATGCGTCATAGAGTCTCCGTATCACCAAAGATGGCTCGACATGCTCATGGAACCATTTATCCTTGGCACGTTTCACGATCATACATTGTACATCGAGGATGAGATTAATGACTTTTTTTGCCCATTGTACGTCATCCGTCGGTTCGAGACTTAGAATAAGATTCAGAAGTTTATAAATGAAATGTTTCATCACGTTTTTCAGCTCTGAGGTAATACGATCCCGTTCTGCCTCCGTGGTTAATTCGCTCAGCACCTCCTGTACGTGCCTAAACGCCATTATAATTGGAATCAAGAAGTCACCTTCGTAGTCTGCTATCGCTTGAAGACGGGCTCTATTGCCGCCTTGACTTTCCTCAGAGTTATCAATATGCGAATAATACTGAGCATGGTGCTCATTGAGGTATTGTCGCATGGCTTCGCGTTTCTCTCTAATAAAGCTCAGATCGCCAGATAGCATATGCACAATATTTGGCCACGATAAATCGGCTGTGAGACGTTCAAACATCATATTCATGAACGATGGCACTTCGACAGACGTAGGGCTCTGTTCCTCTGAGCGAGATTGCTCATGCGCGGTGTGGGGAAAATGAATTTCGACGTTGGAGATGCCTGGCATGCGTGATTCGTGGTTTCGATTCATCCGCTGCATCACCCTACCGAGGCGCTCTGGCAAGAGATCCACTTCGGAAAGGTTGCAGTGAACATGCAGATAGACGCCAGCGACGGGCACTTCCGCCGACGCCGTGGAGGGATGGGCGTGTGCGGGGCGCACAGCCTCGCTTTCTTCGGTCATGCTGGCAGCTCGGGCTGACGCGCGTGGCTGGGTTGCAGGGGCGTGTGACTGGGGGCGGCGACCCGCGGCTTCTCTCTGTGCATTGTTATCGCCACTGCTAGTGAAGCCTGTGAAGATGCTGTTGAGCACGTTTGCGCCAGCTGCGAATAAGGGCTCGGTGTGGGGGATGTTCGTTGTGGTGTTTTGTAACTGCTGTGATATTATAGAGCCTATGAGCGAGCCTATATCAGATAGTGGAAAGGCCCCTGTGCTGGCGTGGACGCTGAGGGTGTGGGTACCGCTGGTATTGGTGCTCTGCCTAGTCGGTTGCTCCGCTCTGCTGTTTATCGTTTCTTCAGAGCGGATCACCATGTGCACAGTAGAGCCGTCACTTATGTCGTATTCGCCAAGAGAACGATCATTATGAAGAAGTCGGCCGCAAAAAACAAGTCGGATCCTCTCCAAGTTTTGAATACTTAAGCGCGTTGCGATTTCACGACAAAGCGAGGCAACCGTCTGATTGGGTTCGACTTCAAGCCCATTGATGGTGTACTGCTCCTGCGAGCTGAGTATATTAATTAACATACTCCAGAAATCAATGAATGCAATTAATAACCAAATTTGTAGGAAAATATACTGTAGTAGAGAAAATTGCTAAAAAGGAAAAGGGATTTGCTTTCAAATTCATCACAAATAAAGGTGAGATAAAGCTAGGAGAAATAAAATTTAGCGCATTCGCACACCAAGCGTGTATGTAAGCGAAAATTATGGATTACGAGAATATATTCGAGAAAAAAGTTGCAAGAAACAATACAAAAAAAAAACACAATAGCATGTGCTGAAATATAGGCACATTGCTGAGCAAAATTATCCACAGTTATAACCTCGCTACCTCCTCCCCCCCTCCAGCGGATCTGGGCAATCAGCGATTTTTGAGGGTCCCAACAATCCTGGGTTCCATCTTGTTAGTGTGGCAGCGGGAGTTATCCATAAGCAATAGCAGCATAGGGTACTCCATCTGAAGGGAACATTATACCCGAATGAAAGCATTGTTTAGACAATGTCTGCATACATGTCTTTGTCAGCTTGCCGCTATAATGGTGCTTACCCCATTGAATGGCGTAGCGACAACGCATCATTAGAAAGTATTGTTCCATCCGCACCCCAATACATCTTGACGGAAGGTGGAAAGATGGACCTTGGGTTTAAGGATTGTATCACCGCGTTTTAGTCGCTACAAACCGCAATAAATGAGCCTAACATGGGATGCCAAGGGCCTCACGCACATTCTCATGCGCTTGGATGAGTACACGGACGTGCTTGACAGAGTGGCGATCGGCTTCCAGCCTTGTCAAGTACCCAAGGCGTCCAAATGGCAACGAGGTAAGTCGCCATTGTAATATGAGCAACGACGCAGCGCTGGAATGCTGAACCAGCTGCCCGTGCCTTCCGTTGATGTTCCCTTGGAATTCAATAAAAATATTTCACCGCTAACAACCTGATGAATACAAAAAATACCACCAAACGCAACACGAAAGAAGTGACTAATAGACTACTATCCATGCCGGAGCACCGATGAGCCTGCGATTGGTTTCGCGCCTTGCTTTCCTCCGAGCTGCTGGCGAAGCTCATCTTGTAATGTTGACTGCAGACAGCGGCTGCACATATAAGGCATCTCATCCCTGAGCAGTCATCATTGCTGTGCTCCCTCGGGCAGGCACTATAAGAGAGGGTCCCCCCCTCCCTCTTTTTCTTTCCCTCTCTTCACCCTAAGCGTCCTTGCGTAGACACACCAAAATCCCATTTTGTCACCACTACGAGCACAAAGATGAGTTCTAGGAGTATGTTTCTTGATATTTTCTTATGTCTGAAGGAGAGGAGGACCATGATAGTGGCATACTGATAATGACATAACAAGAAAAAGGCGTGAACGAAAAAGTGCCAACCATGGCTTGTTGTTTTTATGAGACTTATAAAGAACAATAGTAGTTAAACTCCAATATTTTACGAGGGTCTGCTCAGTAATTTATCGCAGAGCAATCGAAAAGAGTGTTTGTGAGAGGCAAACGCTTATGCTAATAATTACATTTTTGAGTGTGTATGCGCAACCCCGGCTGGTTCAAGAGGATTTCTCTTTTGCAGCACCTGAGCGCTTTCTGAGCGATTTTTATTTATTCTATTACATTTCGTCTTCATTATGCTCTTGGAGCGATCTCAGCTCGTTGTTTTAACAACTGCAGCTCTTCCACGATAGCAGGTAGTATCTCTCTAGGCAAGGAATGCCCCATACCAGGAAAGAGAACCACCTTCGAGCCCTTGATCAACTCCCCCAGGTGTATACCATTTTTATATGGCACCAAGCCATCCTTCAAACCGTGAATAATCAAGGTCGGGATGCCGCACAGCTCTTTAAGAGCTGTATCACGACTCGATGAGCGTCTGATTGCCCACAACTGGCGATTGGCACCCTCTTGGTAATCAAGCATCCTTTCATTCACAACACGGATGAGCTGAACGCATTGATTCTCATCCAATGGGAAATCACCGGAGTTAAGCCTTAGTGTTTTCATCTTAAAGTCTATGACATCTTCAATGGACTCGCTTTTGGGTTTCCCAAACAAAAGAAGTAGACCATTAAGAGGGGATGGATGCTCCACATGGGGACCGCCACAGTGGGAGAAGACGATTGTCAAACTCAACACGCGCTCGGGTTGGTAAATTGCAACGCGCTGGGCGATCATTCCACCCATGGAGGTGCCCAGTATATGTGCTTTCGGGATCCCTAGCGCGCTGAGAAGGTTCAGCGCGTCGAGCGCCATCTCCTCAATACGGTAGGGCGGCTCCTTCTCACCGAACGACATCCACGCGGGGGCAATGATGCGAGCCTCCGAAAGTGTGGGAAGGCCGTCCATATGCGTGGAGAGACCATAATCACGGTTGTCAAAGCGTACAACGTACAGACCAATATCCACCAGCCGCGTGCAGAATTCAAATGGAAAGTTGAAACACGTCGAGCTAAGCCCGCAGATTAGTAAGATGCAGGGGTCTTGTGGGTTGCCAAATGTTTGGTAGCATATTGTAATGTCGCGTTTCGTACGATGACAACGACCGATATAGACGAATTTATCGTCCGGAGTTGGATTGCCATCTGGGGGCGGCATCGGCACCACCTGCGGGTCTTTAAAGTATGTTATTTCATCTTGCACAGTCATTTTGAGTTTAGCTTTGGCGCTGTTTATAATACCTTTAAGGTGGGTTTATGAAAGTTTGTGCAAATAGTGTTTATATCTTGACCGTTGCAACCAATCCAGTAGCAACAAAGAAGAAAAAGCTGACTTATCATTGAAAGTAAATGACAAAAGCTAACGGAGACTTTCTCCTCGTCAGCCTTCATTCCCTCTCCTCCTCATCCCTCACACCTGCACGTGCAATTGTCAAAAAAGGATTGTGGGGTTTTTTATTCTTTTTTTTGATTGTCTGTATGAATCAATCCAAATCGTAATCATATTTAAATCGGACGGCGATTGCCTTCAGGTCATCAATGCGTTCCCGAACATCGTCGTTGGACCAATCCAGCTCATTCAGCAGCCTCTCCGCATCGCGTATCATAAGCTCTCCTAGGTTGAGCTGATACATCATTGACAGGCTGCCGTAATCGATCGCATAGCGTATCCGCCGCTCCCCCATGGTGAGGCGATTTATGATATAGCGTAGTTGCAGCGTCGCGGGCAGAGTGAGAAATTCCTCAAGTGGGGCTTCTTCGTCCTCGGACCATCGTGGAAACAACTCCGAATGTTCCCTGCGACAGAGTTCTTCCTGAGCTTCGCTGTTAACAGCCTCACGAAACCGTTCTCGCATCCCTTGCTCGTATTGCTTGCGGCCAAAAAAAGCGTTTTCCCATTTCTTGATTATCCCTCGCCGTTCACGCGAGGTTGCAGTGCCGCTCCCGTAGACATTGCCCTCTCCGGAGCCACAATGAGCATTCTCACTTCCGCGTTCCTCTTCTTCAGCCTCAGATGAGGAGGCGGAATCTCGACTTTCGCCCCCTTTGGCTTTGCGATTCTCACCACTCTGGTAGCGAGCGCCTTCACCACTGCCTCCATGAAATGCACCGGCATGGAAAGACTTTCCGTACGAGAATGGGTTTGATGCGTTAGACGAACTCGAAGTTTCCCCCGCGTAATGATTCTTGTCGACCCTATCGACGCGACCATGGAAATACCCCAACCCCGTGAAACTGTGGTAGGGAGGCAGCGTAAAAGCAGGGAGAGGGGCTAGCCTCCCGTGTGAGAACAGTGATGCCGTGGATCGCCTTCGCAGCGCGGGAAAAAGGAACAGGTGTGAGCATGGCGCACAAGACAAAAGCGATGGGGGCATCAGCGAATATAAATAGTCAAACAAATCGAATTGTACTCCTTTACCCTTGACGAGAGATTCTGAAAAAAATTAGTGTACACACACAACCCTGTGTCAATGTTTAGGGCAATCAAAAAATGATGCATTCTATTAGCTCCAGAATGGTATATATTGAGAGAGTGAGTGCGTGTAAGAAGTTAATGAGATCCCATTTAGGGATCATGACCCCACAAAAATCAAAAGTGAAAAAGGGGCTCAAAAGGTATCTCGTGTAAAACCGCATGGTCCGTAAAGCTAATCTTCCTTCAAAACCATACACAAACACATCCATCGAAGTATAAAATAAGCAAGGAATCACGTGGAGGAATGCCACGTTGCTGTCCCGCTTTCCAGCCCCTCATTACACTACACTACGGGGAAGTACGGCTGACGTCAAGCCGGTTTGCACCTCACTTTCAACCATTGGCAGTAGGATATTTGCCGCATGTACTCCCTCAATAAAGCACATGCACCCCCATATTAGCAACAGGTTAATCTTCTCCATTTCTTCTACAAAGAACGCGAATCCTTCCTTTCTTCGCGTTCTGTGTGAACAGGGGGCACGACCGCGGTGTCGTCCCCTGCAAATTCCCCAGCGCTAATATCTTTCTCGTCCACACCGTTAATCAAATCCGTCGCCGGGATTACATGCACGACATCTCCGGTAACGGAGAAGAACACAAAGGCAGAGCAGGAGCCATCGGAGTCGTTCATCTCATGGTAAACGATCCGGTACTTCAGGATCGCATTCCCGCCCATGACGCCGACCAGACTCTGCACCAAACATCGAATTTCGAACTCCACATGGTGGTAAAAGCTCCCCAGCTGTGCGCCTCGGTAGATGTCGTTGGCTTGACGAATGAAGTGCTGCGAGAGCCGCCCGAGGTAACGCACGACGACCTTGCCGGGCACGAAATCGAGCGGCGTGCAGTGCACCGTGAAGATGAGCTCGTCAAGCGCGTCTAGCTCAGGCGGGAGCCGCTCTGTGGGCTTGTGATAATGCGCTTCAGACGCATCCACCTTCGCGCCGCCTCGGTGGCCCTTTGCTTTGTGGGACCCCACAAATCGGCTGGCTTTGAAGTTGTGATAGTCGCCGGAGTAGCTATTCGAGAGATTGGCTGCCTGTTTGGTCCGTTCGATCATGCTGTGAAGGGAGCTCTTGGTCGCGGACCAGAGAGATTGCCAACGACCGATCACTGTATTGGATCGGGTGGGTTTGCGCTTGCGATAGTCGGTGTAGGTGGTGATGGTATTCTTGTTATGGGGATTCTCAACCCCATCACTGGAGCCCGTAGCGGGCAACCCCCCTGCTGTGGGATTGTCTTTTGCGCCTGGTGCCCACACCCGCAGCGGGGGCACTTCGAATCGGTAACTATTGAGCATGTAGGTGAGGCTGAAAGGGGCGTTGCAAGACGCGAAGAGCTGTCGATAGAGCGTGTAAAGAAGACGCGTCCGGTCGATGCTCAGGGGGTCGTTCGTAGGGCGTCTATCGGTTTGATGGCATCTTCCGTCGGTTACTATGGTGGTAAAGTCGGCGACCGGCGCCACCTTGAATCCGGATGGCAGCATTCGCTGCGGCGAGACCTCGTGATCATGGGCGATGCTGGGGTCCGTGGCGGTGATAAACCGATCCGAAAAGTCGTCCAGCGCGATACTCATTCTGCTGCAGTCCACGGCGACGGCAGACAAGCTTCGCAATGCGGGTGTTGCCAGCGCGCTATCGACGGTACGAGCTCCCCGGCCTTTCTCCTGCTGATCGTCGCTTTCGCATGAAAACCCCAGGTTGCTATGCCGCAGACACTCACGAAAGGCTTGGTCCTCCAGACGCAGCAAGCGTCCCCACCAAGCGCTGCCTCCCTTATCCCCCGTCATCCTCGCCGCCTGGTTCGTCAGCACACAGCCCTCTAAGTGGAGGTGCAGATCCCCCAGGTTCGGTTCAAACAGAAAACCAATCTTGAACTCAAACACACGCACGATCCCACCAGACAGGCGGTGCACCAGGTCCCTGATCTCCTTTCCCCCGCCTTTAGCAGCGCTGGGGTGCGCGTGGTAGGCCATGTGAGATGTCCCTTCTCGCCAGGTGAGGCAACCCGTGGCGACGACAAATGCGCGTTTCGCATCCGCGCAGCATTCATTAAGTCGGCGTGTGTTTAACTCCTCAATGGCGTAGCGTCGATGTACGGTGACGTACTCCTGCGTATCGAACCAGTTCACTTGCTCGGGAAGGTACGGCACGGTAAGTAGGAGGCTGTCCTCAAAGGTGGTCATGCGATCCATGCCAAGCATCATATCCGCCTCATCCTCGTCGTCGATTTTAACCACAAAATCACTCACGCGACTGCCTGCAAGCCCGAGAGCCTGCACCTCCGCGGCGGGCCGATGAAGGTCCTCCGTGTCGTTCGAATCGGAGTCGCTCCCCTCAATGCAAAACATCTCACGCTCCGTCGAGGACCCCATCGTGGATGAGAACGTGGAAGCATCCGAGGTGGAGCCGCTGTCGTGATGCTTGTTTTTGACCAGCAACAGGGGAAGCAAAGGACGGGAACTGAGACTGCTATGAGGACTGCAGTGGTTCTTCGAGAGACTTACTGAGGAGTACGATGGCGTCGTCAAAGAATACGAACGACCCGACTTCGGCGATGAAGTGCTTCCACGACTTCCTGCTCTTTCCCCCGATGAGGTCGAAATGCTGCTGGAAGACGAAGATGAGTTACCGCGACGACGACCACCACCACCACGATGGTGATGACGATGACGCTGCTGCTCCTTTTTACAGTTTATACCTTTCGCATGGTGCATGCGGCGATTCTTCGCAATGAGATCCTTAAGACGAATCACGCGGTCGTTGCCGGCAATCATGGAATTAGAAACCGTTACACAGGGCAGGATCGGGATCGGTAGCGCAGCAAGCTGACATCCGGTTCCTGTTAGTATTCCAATAATACACTGCGGCCCGATCACGATGGACACACAAAGACCAAAGCACGCATTCATCCGGAGGAGGCGAAGATTAAAGAGGAGCTGCTTATGCAGGGCAAACTCGATGTAGGGCAGCGCCTGCGAAACCTCCATGGCAAGCTGCACGCCACGGACATCGCGCTTGGATTTGACGACCGTTGCTTGGACGAGTCGCAATGGGCCTGTCGTAATCAAGTCCACGGGGAGCGAGCAGGAGGCAAGGATTACTTCCGGAACCAACTTGCGGCTGCATGTTCGGCAAAACATGCTATGGAAGTGATGCTTGGGAACGTTTCGTTTGAAATTCATGACCTTACCATGCGGGCCATGATAACGATGGAGCATTGAGCAGCTCTTCCGTCCCTCCAAGCGCTCACAAGCCTTATAGAAAAGATGCGTGTGCTCCGCACGAAGAGAAACAAAGGAGGGGTCTAAGACAACGGCCGTTCCGAACAGCGAGAGCAGGACAACATCTTCGTAACACTGCGTTTCCTCTTTGTAGCCGAGAATGGCGTTGCAGTGAAAAGCGCGCGCATTGGTGCGTAGTTCCTCACGCAGCTCCATCCACCAGGCGTCGCGCTCCTGTGAGATGGCCTGCTTCGACTTTCCCCTGGAGATTATTTTCACCGAACGGGAACAAATATGTCCGCTGATGCGAAGAATGCATCCGGAAGGGAGGTCCTTGACGGTGAGTATGGTAATGGCCGTGCGTGTCGCTGCTATGGTGGGCCCGGAATGGGATAACGACTCCGTAAGATTCGATTTGGATTGAGCTGTGGGCAGCGCCGGAATGGGCGTCCCCCCATTTGAAGAGGCGGGCGGAGCGGCGATAGACAGAAAGGGAGACTTTAAGGTTGCCGCAAGCAACGGTATGGCGCCACCTTTGGTATTAATCCGAAAGGATTTGCTTTGCTCATTACCGACCTCTTTTGGTGCGGATTCGTCGATGTCTTTCGGTATAATGTCTGGGGAGACCATTGATGCCTCGGCGGTAGCGGTATAACTAGTTTTGGGTAGCATAAGTGGTGGAGTACCGCTGGTTGCTGCGGCTTCATCCGGCGACATCCGAAGCAATTGGAGTGGGCTGAAGCCACCAGGCTCTGCAGCCGCGGTGCCGATCGCTTGGGATGGAGATATTCTGCCCGTGGGGCTCTTCCACACCGCACGAACATTCTGAAGGTTACTTTCATCAACAAATGTCGTGGCGGAGATCACACACGGCGTCCCATAGGCACGCACGATGATATCCTTCAACTCAATGTCGAATTCCTCCACATAGCCAAGAACGGCGTTGCACCGCATTTCCACAACCTTGCGTGCAAGCTGTCTTCGCACCTTGCCGCTGAGCTTAAAAAGTTGAATCAAACGGGCCTCGTTGGTCGTGCGGATGGAACGGAGATTGGTGAGCCGTGAGTGCTCAGGGTCCGCCTTCACAATGAGTTCCTCTACCATGGAATGGATAGACTCAATACGATACACCGCCGGATCTAAGCGCCATGCACCAAAAATATAAACCCCTTCCTCTTCGGCAGCCAGGGTGGGATGCAGCGACTGGGTTGTCATCAGCGGGCTGAGGCTTTGCCCTAAGAACAGGAGCGGTGGCTTCCCCTTGGCTCGACACCAACCGTTGCTAAAATGTCGCTTCGTTGAACGGATGCGGGTGGGGATGGGGTTGACCATGGGCGACCCCCCTATCGCGCCGACGGGGGGGACCTTTATGGTTCCCGAGGGCGATGCTTCCGGTTTAGCAATTTTGTTCAAAAGAGCATCCTGTTCAGCCCTTTTTTTGCCATCACTCGGCCCGCGGGAGAGCTCTCCCGCGGTCGCGTCCGGCTCCATGGGCGCCAGATGCACGCGGTAAACGTAGCGTTCCGGCAGGACCGGCCTAAGGGGATTTTCCGCGGCGTGGAATTTGATTCGTATCGTCAACCGGATGTCCCCTCGAAGGCCCTCAATCGTGTCGTGCAGCGGAAACCATCCGGTTAGAAAGGGATTCTCCAGCCCCAGGATGCAGTTGCAGTCTAAAAGGACCGTCCCCACAAGATTATCGCGGCTGATGATGTCGTGATCATACACGCGCACCACGAGTGGGTCTTCTTGGAGGATCAAGAGATCAGGGGTGTCAAAGCGGTAGTCGAGATTCCAAACGGGGTGTCGGGTGTGGCGCACGATGTCGGTGGTGTGCTCCATGTCATCCAGCTTAAGCACTACATAAGGATCTGCCAGACCGGTTCCACGGTCCATCACAGGAAGATCCCGTGCCTCGTGAACCGTAACTTTCAGCGTTGCCATTGAGTAATGGGAGTGTATTTATGAAACTAGAAGTAGTCTAGTTGCTCTAAAAACTCATTTCAATAAAGAGGATTGAACATTAATAAGCTATCGGTGGGACTTTAAAGCCTGTGAACTTAATTGATTGAGCCTGGTCTTCTGACCCATACATTTATCCATTTTCACTGGAAACAATAGGCCAATACGAACTACCTGTGACTCACAAATATACGTATGCGTATACATGTATATATATATATATATATATAATGGGAATAAAAGCAAGAACAGGGAACAGGTCTGTATAAAAGAGAAAGGATCACAATGAAACATGCACACTTAATAACAACAACAAAGTCCCGTCAGTTTTCGAGAATGCAACGACAAAAAGACGCCAGTTCACAGCAGAAGCTTAGATTGGGGTTGATCTCTGGGCGTGCCTCTCTTAGCACATCGATGAACTGCGCTATAAACATCGGTGATGGCTCTGCCTCCTTTTGTGAACCCTCGCCTACTACCACATTAGGATTTGCCTTTCCATCACCGCGTTGCCAGTTTCTCAATGCGTGTTTCATATGTGATATAAAGTACATGGACGCCACACTGGGGCTACGGGAGACGCCTTGACGGCAATGTACAAGTATGGATGGTGGTGGCATTAAATGACGCAAAGGAGTGGTAAAGTGATCCATAAACGACTTGGGTATTTCCAGAAAAGCCTCAGACAACGTTTCTCCAGTACTTTCTAGGGGCCCATAGACCTCTCTGCGAGTGTCAACACTGCCCGACTCAGTGCTACAGCTGTGATGAAGATATTCCCTGCAGATGGCCACGAAAGGCCCCGGAAGGGCAGGAGAGGACATAAGAGCTGAGATACGCAGTTCAAGGGCTTCGTTACACACCCTGTGCATCAAGTGTGCAGCGGTGGGATGTAAAAACAGCAGCGCACATGCATCCTTGTAAAACGTCCATAGCGCCTGTGAAAGCCTTCTAATCCTCAGCTTGGAGATGTTCCTTTGTTCTCTTGGAGCATGATTTGCTACTGAGCTGGCAAAACCTCCATCATGCGCCTCCCCTGGCCTATGGGCCGTGCAGTGCGCCATAAAAGTATCAAGCTCAACCAAAAGTCGTATTATAGACTTTAAGAATATCATCCTTGCCGCCATTGTGCTAGAAAACATAATCTCCTTGTCGACACACTCCACCTTTTCCCCACCCTCACCCTCAACCGCAGTGATGGGGGTTCCTATCACCATCACTAGCGCTTCCGTTATCGCCGATAGATCGTGCAGCACCCTCAGCGCGCACGTACTCTCCCACATCAGTGAGGAGCTTGGGTCCACACAGTGCGAAATTAGAGCATTACAGAGAGAACGAAGTTGGGATAACCGTGTTTCGATTGTGTCTGTGACGGCAACACGCACGTGGTAAACAGGAACGTCAAGGGAGAAGGTCTGATGAATCGTTTCTGGATTCGTGTTAACACTGAAATTTCCACCCCGTAGCTCCTCACGATAGGCCTGGAGAAGCACCGCAACCAGTTCTCGCAGTGCGGCAAGGAATCGGGTTTCGTATTTCACGACGGTGCTGTGATAAGAGTCATAGGCGTCCTTGATTCGTTGCGCATTGATCTTATTTGACATCGGAACTTCCCTTGAAGGGCATGGTTGGTAATATGCAGCGTTTACAATTTGGGCTTCCACGAGTACACGAAAAACCACTGAGACGTCCGATACCCCATGAGAAGAGTCTTCCGTCGTTCTTCTTGGCGTTACTGCGCGAGAAAGAAGACGTGGAAAGCAGAGGGAGACCCTGGTCTTGTCATCCGAAACAGTAGTGGATATTGACAAACCGGCCGTGGGCGACAGTTGTGGCACATTGCCCTCAGAGTCATTAGTGTTCTTGATTGCACATAGAATGGTCTCGCTATCCTCTTGTTGATGCTTTAATTTTCCTTCAAGATGATCTTTCTTGGTGTCTTCGCACACACAAAGTATCTGACGGATCCAGCGTGATGTAGAGCCTACCCGGTAGTTAATTTCTTTGTGCGGCCTTTGGCAGTCAGCTCTACTGTTGACATCATGACATGCTTCCACCACCTCACCTAGAAGGAGCAGCTGGGAGAGTGCCTTGGGATCTGTGATGCGTGAAGGGTAGTCAGAGGATATAAAAAGTTGCCCCGAGTTCTGATTGCGTATACGCTCCTGTGAAGGGGTTTCCCCATCAAGCGTCACTACGCTGAAGTCTTCCGTAGACGCTGCACCCCCCAAATATTTTTTCGTTTTATTTTCCTCAATGTTTAAGACGTCCATGCCCCTTTTATCGAGAAGGGTATCCAGCATGGCTTCCTCTCCGATAAAGGTGGGGTCTTCTCTGGGACAAAGAAAGGAGCATCTTTCCGTTGGGAAAAATTTGTGCAGAAGTACCGCACTGATGTTACTGATATCCCTTAGGCTCTTAAGTTTTTGTCGTAGGTACGAAAACCGGTCCGACATAGTCACTGGTATAAGAGGCGTCCTTTATCCATAGTAGGCAACAACAGGGGCTGAAAAGGAAACTAGAGAAAAAATAAAAATAATTAAACGGATAAACAATTACTTTTTAGGGTTGATACGTAATTTTACACATTCGAGACTACTATAGTCAGAGAAGGATGAAGCGTCAATCTTCTCATGTCATCGAGCGTGAGAACAAGAAAAAGATAAAATAACCAAAGGAATAAGAATTAACAATATACTCTTTGGCTACTTCATCGATTTTTGAATAGAATTATTATATTCGTTTTACTAGGCTTGTCAGATTACATTGCCACCTCCACGGATCTTCGAAGGAACTATAACTGGTACGGTACCCAAGTGTGACTACGCAAAATGAAAAGAACAAGCAAGTGACTTCAAACGTGTGTGTGCATGTATTGCGACGATAGCGAACTAGCAATAGATAAAACTCGAAACCATTACTTCATGAAAAAAGGAGCAATGAAGAATCAAATTTCAAATATGAAAAAGAGTACGTATACATAAATTTAGCATCATTAATACGTTTAATCTTATGCGACAACACACACTTAAAAACCACAAGTGACATTATTGAAAATGATATTAATATTTGTATCAAAGATGAGAAAAGGAAATTCATAACATGGGCCCAACACGATGTTATGCTCGTTCCCCAACATAATTTTCGTTAAATTTTGGACGGCTGAAATCCTTCAGGCCTGATGACCAGCCTACAAGAGGAAGACAAACAAATCCGTGCCCTTTAAGTGTGGTTCAAGCAAATCTAGAATCATACGATGTTCGACCCGACGATTGGAAGTGGTTAAGACATTTTCATCATTCAAACCACCCCATGCACCATCGAAATTATATCCCCCAATCCAGAAATATATCCGAGAAGCTGGGTTGAAACTCTCCAAGTGCTCCCTGTTTTTTCCCCTTAGTTAGTTTAAACAGGGGGTTCCCCTTCGATTCGGCTTAGCTAGGGCTTCGTCGTCGTTTCACCCGCTCGCGCCTCACGTTCGACGTGCGCTTTATGGTGCTCTTCAAGGATATTCCACAGCTCGTTCACCTCCGGATGCCTCTTCGTGAAAAGGTTCCACAGGAAAGCCCGCCCGCTTGCCGTATCGGAGACTTCCTCTTGCCGCACCACCGCAACCTGCTTCGCCGTATCTTTGGGGTCGATCACGGGCTCGTAGCCGTCATCAATAAAGTACGGGCTCTCCAAGGCTTTCTGAATGGTGATACGATCCTGTGGATTCCACACGAGGCAACTCATAATGAGCTGAACTTCATCCTCCGTTTCATCGCCGAAGGGGCTTTTGAGAAGGTGCTTTAGGATGCTTTGACGTCCTTTCAGCAGCACCCGGATACACTCGATGACATACAAAAAGGACTCCTTGTCGGATTCGTATCGGCGATCCAGGATGGCACACACGGACTCGCAGGAGGGCTCCCCCAGCGTTTCCACGACCGCCACCAGGTGCCCAACGCTCGACATGGATGAATTGTAAAATAAGGGATACCCGATGAGCATCTCCGCCGCGATACAGCCAATCGACCAGACATCGATGGCGTGAAAGAATTCGTTATCAACGAAGCCCGTTTTGACGGTATCCGTGCTGAGAATAAGGGTGTCCGGGGCCGCGTACCACTGCGAGCAGTTCCCAAGCATCGTATGAACGCGCTCGGATTTGTTAACGCCGACGTCGCGGCCTTGCCCGAAGTCCGTGATGCAGGTGTTGTAGTTGTAATCCACGAGGATGTTCTCCGGTTTCAGATCCCGATGCATCACTGGGCAGCGATGTAGGTAGCCCACACCGCGGAAGATCTGGTAGAGGATGAACTTACGGTAGTCTTTGGAGAGCGGGTGAAGAGGCAAGCCCGTACCGGGGAAGCAAAGGTTCTGCCCGGAAGGGGTACGAGGCACCCAAGGGGATTTCTTCCCCGTCGTCTCGGGCGTTTTCCCAACCCCACTTTTCAGGGGTTCCTTTTCAGGCGTGAGGGATTTCCCCGCGAGGTCGGCCCCTTCCCGCGCGGGATTTTCGCTGCTCGGGGTGCTCGCGCGACGGGGAGGGTTGAGGCCGATCTCCTGCCAACCGCCCTCGCAACCCCAATCGTCTACGCCCTCGCTCGTACTCCGCGGAATCAGACGCGAACTGCAGATTTTCATCAACATCTGTCGAGTGCTCCGACTGAATTTGCGAATTTGATTGTATAATTCGCTGCTTTCGAAGGCACCCGAAAGGATATGTTCGCGTATCGCTTGTAAAGATAATTTTCCATCCCGTTTGTCCCCACCGAAATCTTCCGAGGATCGTATCACTTTACTTAAAGAATTATTGGGCTCCTCTGCCGTATTTTCAGCATTAATCGCATCACTAAACGCAGAGGATTTCGACAGCTTCGGTGTAGTTTCACAGGATAACACCGGGGTGGCGTCATGCTCGGAGCTACGCAATAGCATTTCCATGTACTCCGGGGAAGCCTCGGCCACGGTGATAAAGGCCGAATCTAAAACCTCGCGCAGCGAGTAGTCCATTTTATTCATCACCACATAAACGCTATCAAAAGTGTTGCGCAGTCGTTGCATGGACTCGTAGGTTAACCCATCCACATTCCCCAAGGGGATGAAGAAGTCTATCGCGGATAGCACGTTGACGTGCTTAAACGCCATCATGAGTTGAATCTCACGCGACGCACAAAGCCACATGCGCGGCTGATTAAACTCAAAAAGCGTGGAAAGTTTCTTGATGGCGACATGCGTGGCGGCGTCGTACAACGCTTCGCGTTCCTCCGCCGTCTCCACGGCGATGTATTCCGCCGGGGGGTTCAACTCGAACTCCTTCACGCGATTCCGATCCCAGGCGGAGCAGACGCAGCCGTAGGTGCCGTAACCAATCGGGCCTACGACTTCGTAGCGAAATAAGACGTCGAAGACCACGCGGAACTCCTCGCCGTCGGGATGCTGAAAAACCAACGTGGAGCGCGCGGAGGATAGTGCGTGGGAAAGGGTGGTGGATATGGGATTCCGAGGAACCGTCGGGAGGGTCTGCGGGAACGGTGCTGTCATAGGGTGTTGAGCAAAAATTCAATTGGACACTTGTAGCCTATCTCTATCTATACGCATATAGCTAACACTCCAGAAGTGAGTGGTGATAATATTTTTTTTGGAATACTTTTATCCCCTCTATTGACCTTCACTTTGCCTGTGCAGTGTGATGGGGAACACGAAGAGAAAAGTAGATGAAAAGCAAGACGTGTCTACCAAAAAAAAAAGAACACATGCCAGGTGTAATTGAGCACCTAAACAGGTTGCATTCATCCAAGTAAGGCATTTTGAATTACCTGTGCAAATGTGTGTAGAATGGTTAGAAAAAAAAAAGAATACACGTTTGGGTCGTATTTTTATATTATTCCAAACATTTAACTTGATTTTAAGCTTATCCGTAAGTGAATTAAGTCTCATGTGTGCACATACACACACACACACACACACACACACACAACACGCATATATGGGAGCAACACTGAAGCATCGTCGATCGCTTCGACGGTTATTGCAGTAAAAAAACGTTCTTTCCATTTCTTAATACACTCTTCCCTATAATCTCACGACAGCATTCAATGGATGCATTTTCTCCATCCCCCCCCCCCTCCCCTGAGCCGTGTAGATAACCAAACTTGTGCTCAGATTTCACTAATTTAGGGCGCGGAGGATAAGGCCGCAAGCACGCCGAGCAACTTCTCCGCGCTATACTCCGAATTGGTTTCCCCCGACCCCCTCATTTTCGTGGGCGACGACTTAGAAGATCCGGTTTTCAATACCAACACATCTTCTAAACAGCCATGGCATCCGTAACAGACGTAATACTCAGACGCCATCTCCTCACACGGCAGGGGTTCCTCGGAAAGAACGTCAGAGAACACCCGCTCCGTTAAAACCGCGCCGTGGGTGGCGGAAAACGGGCATCCGCAGACAAAGCACGCCGCCCCGACCCCCTCGTTTCCACCCACATCCGACGCATTGGATAATAAAGAATCGGAAAGATCCTCACGCGCACGGCATCGCACGCCGTGTTTCTCCACGGCGAGTTTCCGCACGGGATGAATCGGGGGGTCGGTGCGCTGGAGCTGGGCGTGGTAGAGCTGCGCGGAGCGCCCGAGCGTGTTATTCTTTTTCTTGGATTTGCCTTTTTGACTGGGTGAGGATCCTACGGTGGGGGTTTCGTTCGCCTCCGATTCCTGCTCAGGAGAAGGCAAAAGGCCTTTCATCACGGCCGCCACCGCCGGCGGTCCGACCGCGATTTTTTTCACGGTATTCAGCACGTTAAAAGCGCTCGTCCAGTAGTTGGCGACGAGGGCGTGCACGAATTGCTCGAGAACTCGATGGATGGATGGAAGGGAGGTGGCCGTCCGCAACGCGGGCGTGTAGCTCGACAAGATCCCATGCAAACGGTTGTAAAGGATGATTTCTTTCGTCAACAAGACGCGTAACGGGCGTAGAATGACGGTATCCGCGATATAACCCCGCGGTCCGCTCTGATGCGCGAGGTGCTCGCCCGTACCCCCTTGCACCATCGCTTTGAGCGCGGCGATGCAGCAGTGGGCGACGCCATCCCCGACCGCGAAATGCCCCCACGAAGGCGCGGATCCCTCGCGAAACCCGCACGGCGCTTCCCGCGACGAAGATCGATCCCCGTTGGGGGGGGCCTCGGTGGAAGGCGCCGCGTTTTTCGCGGCCTTGGCGAGCCGCCACTCCCCCGTGCATCGCCGCGCCGCCGCGCACAAGACGCGCTGACGAAGCCGCGCGTAGAACTCCTCGCGCTGCGTGAGGGAAAGCCGCGGATGATGCACACAACCACGCAACACCTGAAGCTCCCGAGGGCGTAAAAAGTCGGAATACGAAAACACGCGCACCTCCCCGGGCGCGAAGAGTGGGCAGTTCGCGTATTCCCACCGCCCTTGCAACCCTTTGATCAGCGCTTCGAGATGATCGAATTGTCGTTGAAGAACCTCCCGAACGCGTTGGATGCGGGTGGCGCCCTCGCTTGCGAATCCATTTTCCTTCCCCCCACCCGACGCGGAATCCTTCGCGGAGGATGCGAGAACAGGGGATTCGACAGGACGAGAGGGAAGGGGTGGGAGCACCAATTCATCCTCCCGTAGGTGAAATGGCAACAGCTCGAAGTTCACCGCCCCTGCCCCTTGACGGAGCTCACCTTGCTTGCGCAGGATGCCAAGTTGATGGAGAAGAAAGAGGGAATGCGGACCCCCTGAAACCCCCACCGCCACAGGTTCATCACAGGGCAGGTAGCAATGCGAAAAGAGCTGATCCCGCGTCGTTTTGGTGCAAAATTCCGTAAAACAATGATCGCAATACATTTTACAGACCCCATCACGACTCGCAAAGACGCCGGTATGTTTCTTGCATTTAAAGCAAGGATCCGAGAGTGGCGCCATGGCGGGCTTAACGAGGAAAGGGTTATCACTACCACCTCGACGAGCAAAAATGAACAGACAAATGGAAACGAAAAATGAACCGTGAAAGGAGTGTTGAGGTGGGGGCTCAGCTTCGTGAATATTTCTACACCGGATTTCCACACAGCTTCACAGGTTTTCCCTTCACTTGATAAAAATCTTTGAAAAAGGATCAGGAAGCATAGATGCACCATACTATGAGAGAATCAATCAGACCAACACAGAAAAAAAAGTGCAGAGGCGTGAATATTATGTAAATTTGTAAATGAATGGATATAACCACATTTTTTTTTATAATATAGGTATAGAGAACATTTTGTTGAGGTACATTAGAAGACACTGAAACAGAATGTTGAAGAGGTCAAAAAAAATGGCCTAGGATATTTATTGCATTACAATTCAAAATGAAATCAATGCCCAATGGCGTGTGGATAGGTTTCATGTTTGTTTTTCCACCAACCCACACTACGCTCCACACATCAGTCCAAAATAATATCTAGTACAATACAGTTTTCAAATATTTTTTGATTAGCATAATTGCATGAACAAACATGCATACATGTATATATATGTATATATGTACATATATATATGACTAAGCCTACGAAATTCTAAAGTTGCTATACTAAATGCACACTTATCTCCGACTTATCCTTTACCTTCCTAGAGGGCATTCGCTTTCTCGTTCCCAAACCACTATGCGGCGCCGCCTTTTTCGGCGGCGATTTATTCCCCTCAAGCTCCAGCGGCGCCGCCGTTTCACTTCTAGAAATGCTGCGAATGCACTCCGCGTTACCGTGGCTAATTGCCGACGCGTGTGCTCGAAGTCGGAGTGGGGGAACCACACCCGGAACTTTTTTGACATCGCTACGAAGGAGGCTGGCGAGGGGGAGAGGGGATTTCGGATCCTTCCGTGGGGATTCTTCCGCATCCGCGAGTTTCGCCCGGGCGGCTCGGATGCGCACCCCACTCGACGGCGGCGAGGAGGGCGCCGAACCCGCTTTCGCGGATTTTTCCTCCCCCCTTTCCCGCGCGCGATCCTCCCCGGAGACGCGTTCGGACGCCTGGGAAGGGATCGTCGCGTCTTTTCGAGCCGATCGATGGCCTCGAGGACCCCCTGCCATCGCGGATTCGGATTCGCCGGAAAGAAAGACCGCGGATTGCCCGGGGCGATTCCGTTTGGACCGCAACAATCGCTCCCGCCGCAGCCGCACGACGGGCTCCTCCACCTCGCAAAGCAAATCCCGCCCGACAAGCCGCAAGGAGCGCTCCGAAACTTCCTGATCGGTCATCCCGATCACCCCGGCGAGCATGCGATCGAGGTATTTCCATTCATTGGTGTGGATATCGTACGTCGGGCGTGCGCACCACGGGAGGACGATTTCTTGCGGTTTCCCCCGCCCTTCGGCGGGATCCGCGCGACGACGGCGGAGGGCGGCGCCCGCCGCACGACCCACCGTCCGCCCCGTAGACGAGGAGCAGAGAAGCCTGCTTAAGCGGAGCATCGGGTTGATTTACTATTTTTTTTTTATTATTAATACTTTTTTTTAAAAAAAAAGAGGGGGGAGAACTTTCGTACTCGCCTTTCGGTGTCGTTGTGCGACCTATCTTTTTTTCTAAATGTTTCCCTCTTTTTGTTAAAAAAAATAGATTACCCTTCTAATAGGATTTACTAGACCAATCCGCACTTGGGTAAGCTTAGGTTGTGTTGAGTCTATACAATGATAGAGCACAAGAAAGAAGTTTACGAACTGCTATTAAATTTAATCGCGCGTGTTTACAACACGAAGCAAAAGGGGAAAAAACACAAGCAGTCGAGAGAGTGATATTTTGCTTCAAGGTTGATAGCAAAGTAAATATATATATATATGTGTAAGGAAAGAGAAACTCCATAAAAAAACAACATGTGTTCATCCAAATTTTTAAGTAATATAATCATAAGTTCAAACAGGCATATGTAATTTCCAATACGCATGACTAAGGTATAGATACTCCCTTATCACGAGACCGTTTATGTTTTAATATTTGTAACCATAATAAAAAGATGACGACAACCCGAGATTAATAAAGAGCTTAGGACCCGCATTTGCTGAATTTGTCAGAAAAAAATTGGCCTCCTACCAACATGAAGCACATAAGCTTAAAAACGGTCAAATAGCACAAGGATGATATTAGGAAATATAAGCTACAGCAAAGACGAATGCAATAAAAAAAAGAAATTGCCAATTATTTTCTTCTTGTTAATATTTCTTTCACTTTTGTAGAGAATTTTGACGAGTGGCATGGAATATGATAGAATACGTCTTTTACAAATAATCATTAGGGACAATACACTACATCGCATTGCGCCTTTTGATTTCAAATCCAATGATTTCCTGACAGCAAACACATCTTCGGTAATCCCCAAACCCTTATCTGTATATATCCATATATATTTATATCTATATATGTATATAGATATAGATATACATATTTATTGTTGTCTGTCGATGAAAAATACACAGTCTAGCAAACGAGAAGAAGCCAAAATTCGAATAGATATTCGATAATGGACAAATAAGGGGATAAAGCATAAAAGCTTTGCTTGAACGGATCCAAATTTTTCCTTAGCTTATTCACACCAAATGACGCCACACTCTACCTGCCAAAAAAGTAGAGCCATGGAGAGCTGAAGGAGCTGTATCATTCCTTTCCCAACTTCTACAATATCCACATATGAAAGGTAAATGAAGAAAACCAAACCAAAATAATATCACACACACACACACACCTATACACAAACAAGACGCCCTGACCAGGACATTTAAATGTTTAGTTTGATGGGTACATTCACTTGTGAATGTAGAGACAATAATTGTATCGCATGCGAAGCGAAAGATATGCAAGGTGTCAGGGCCTTTCCTTTTCCTCATTTCTAGAAAAATTTCATCCGACACCTTTTTTTTTTGTTTTCTGCTCCAACGCGTCTTTTTTTTTTAGGTATCAGGAAGTTTTGCTGTTTAAGCGATCCAATTCACACATTCGAAAATAAACAGCCAAGAAAAAATGTACATATATTCCAAAGGATGAAAAAAAAGTAGAAAAAAATACTCATGGAAAAAAGAATATATGGGAGAATTGAATTTATGCTAACCATATCCTTCAGTATATATATATATATATATATATATATATATATATTATTATTA